TGTTTCTGAGTGCGTTGAGCAACTTAGCCGAATGTTCAAGGTAAACTATAAAAGATATACACAGATTTAAAGATGTTGGTGGTGATGAGTTTTATATGATACTCATTGTGGATTTTTATGATATGGTTGCAGCCTGATATTAAAGCGATCAAGAAACGGATGGAGGATTTAATAACCAGAGATTATTTGGAGAGGGACAAGGAGAATCCTAACATGTTTAGGTACTTGGCTTAGGTACTGTGGAAGTGGTTGGCTCATGAAAGGTTGCATCGAAGCATCTGCTTGTATATTAGAAGTCAATATGGATTCTCTCTTTAAATTAACAATTATCGCTGCCTTCTCAAATTTTTTTATCTTCTCTCCCTAAAAATTCGGTCGTGCTGCTTTTTTTTTTTTCTTTTTTCTGGGGATGCAATTTGCCTTGTGGGTTCTGTTTCTTGGATATTGAATGGAGATGGAGGAGATGCCTTAATGAATGGATCTCTGCTTTCGAATATGTTTCTTCATTTGATATTTTTATATGTGATGGAAATTGGTCAAAAGCTAATGAGATCGTCATCTATGGATACTGGCTTGAACTTCAAAAGACAAGTAAGAAAGCGAAGTAAAAAACAGCTTAGTGGCGCCTATCATCGGTGTACCATGTCGCACTTGATCATGTGATATCAGAGTCCGTAAAAATTACACTCCAACGGCTCAGAAGCAAAGTTTATGTGTGTGTATATATGGGCTTTCGTTTAATTAAAGGCGGGCCTGCCAATTAACTGGCATATATTTATTACAAGTGAACTGGACTGAGGCTTTTTATATCTAGCCCAAAGTGCCTGTGGTCAATCCTGCGCCAGGTGGTGAGATACCCGAGTCTAGTTCCTTCTTCTTTTCTCTTCTCTCTCAGATCAAAAAAGAGCTTCGTGTGCGTCTCTCCCCCGCCCCCCTACGTTGTCAAAAATGCTGGCTAGACTCGCTGCCAAGCGTCTTCTCGAGATCCGTCAAGTTTTCCGTCAACCAACCTCTCAGGTATTCACTAATTTCTTGCTTCCTCTCGCTTTTTCTCCGGCATTTCCCGATCTCATTCTCCGTTTGGGCATTTCTATCTTACAGGCGTCTCGTAGCTTGTCAACAGCCTTAAACTACGTAAGTGCTGGATATTCTCATTGATATTTGCTTCAATTTTATCTTAATTTGATTTGAAATTAAAACTGGTATTTGATTTTGTTGTTGTTGTTTTGTTTACTTTAGCACCTCGATTCTCCTGATAACAAACCCGATCTTCCATGGGAGTTCTCAGAGGCAAACAAATCTAAGGTCAGTCAATCAAATCGTTTCTTGTTGTGATAATGATGAAAATTTTACAGTGTGTTGAACGAATTAGGGATTTTATCCAGTAGAGGTCAATTCGGATACCAACTCCTTTGGTGATGATGTATATTGTTGCCTTAGTCGAGTGAATTTTGTGATGAACAGTAATGGTGGAAACTGATTATACTGTTACAAGAAAATGTATTAGTCTTTAGCTCTCATTGCCTACTAATTATACATCCCAGAGTATAATCAGCTTCAAATTTGTTTTGTCCTTGCTCGGTGGGTGTGTTTGTGACTTACATTATCTTTCTACAGAGGGCCAAAAGAGTTTCTGAAATGTTTTGCTGGGATTTAAGGAATGGTTTGTTTGATCCCAAGTCCCAAGTAACATAGTCATTGGCTTCAAATTAGGCATCATGATCCTGTGATTTAGCATTCCTAAAAAAGATACTTGAACGGCAAAAGCTGGGATTTTCTAACATGTTCGATTGTTTATAATATGTTCGTACATTAGAATTGGCTATTGGTTAACTTAGTTTAGGGAGACTGAAAGTGTTACACCCAAATGGCCAACGGATTCCGAATCTGCGTGTGCGACAGAAAATTTAGTTAACCGGTTTAATTGAATTAAACTACTAATACATGCTTGTGCATTTGGTTCCAGTTTACTGTATCTTTCATGTCTGGCTGCAGTAATTGTGCAATTAAAAGTGATATATGTTTCCCCATCCAGGCTTTCTGGAACTATAATATTCTGTCCAAACTGTGTAGGTTAAGGAGATACTCTCTTACTATCCAACGAATTACAAGCAGTCTGCAGTTATTCCGCTCCTAGATCTTGCACAACAGCAACATGGAGGCTGGCTCCCTGTTTCCGCAATGAATGCAGTATGTTTTCGTTTCAGTATATTACAGATTTTCCCTTACTAAATGGAAGAAATTGTGAAGTGAGAATTTGAAATGATCACTTTCCGCTTTTGTTTGATTTTGGCTCTTAATTTTCAGTAATTCTTAAGTTCTTTTTTTGGAATACAACATCCATTGAAATCTACCAGGCATAACCAATACAACAAAATTCTGCAGGTTGCTAAAGTTATAGAAGTTGCTCCTATCCGTGTTTATGAGGTTGCAACATTTTACTCAATGTTCAACAGGGCAAAGGTAAGAACAACTTACCACCCATAAACTCAAGTCTCTACTGTGCTAGTCAATGCAGATAGTGCATAATCATTGTTCATATGCTCTTATAGGTTGGAAAGTATCACCTTCTAGTTTGTGGCACAACACCTTGCATGATCCGTGGTTCACGTGACATCGAATCAGCTTTGCTAGACCATTTGGGAGTGAAACGCGGTGGTATTGTTCTATTAGCAACCTTTGATTAACAAAAGATAACAAAAGCATATGATGATGTTCAGTCTTAACGATATCTGGTATTATGTCTTTCCAGAAGTCACAAAAGATGGTTTGTTTTCTGTTGGAGAGATGGAATGCATGGTATAGATTTCGCATCACTTTTCTACTTTTTGTAAATTGTAAATAGATGCAGAACAATCACCAAGATTAATACTTTTGCATGAAAAGGTACAATATACATCTCATGTGTTTGGTTTTGTTACAGGGATGTTGTGTTAATGCACCCATGATCACTGTGGCCGACTATTCCAATGGATCAGAGGGATATACATATAACTATTTCGTATGTCAAATCTCATCGAATAACTTTTCTTTTCTCCCGCAGTTTATTTATAATGTGATTTAGGGCGCAAAGAGTAAAATCGTATTTACACTGTCTTATGCTACAATACCCAGGAAGATGTTACACCAGAGAAAGTCGTAGAGATCGTTGAAAAGCTGAGAAAAGGAGAAAAGCCACCGGTAAGTCATTAACCTTGCCCATTGCATTCAGATACTTTCCTGATGTTCTTCTCGTGCTATAGCATTGTGTTGATTGGGTAAAACAATCTTAAGGAATGCCCAATACCCTCTAAGCCAATTTCAAAATCCAACTTCTCATAATGTTAATTTTTTTTTTCTTCTCAGCATGGAACTCAGAACCCAAAGAGGATCAAGTGTGGACCAGAAGGAGGAAATACGACACTGCTTGGGGAGCCTAAGCCACCGCAGTTCCGTGATCTCGATGCATGCTAAGCAAAGTTCTGTTCTACCGCAGTTTTATGTGGTTCAATAACGCAAAGGCTACAGCGATGTTTGACGCCTGTAGCTTCAAATTGAGTTTGCATACTGTTTGTAGTCTTTCTTGGTTTTGGAATTTAGACCCAATTTAAACAAATTACCAAAGTCATTCTCTTCTCTTATTATATCACTTCCAAAGATTATGTGAAATTGTAATAAAGACTTGTATGTGTTACTTTAAAAGCCAAGAATTTCCAAACTTTTCAAGAAAATTTAATTGGCAGAATGGCAAATTTTGTGTTATAGCAGAAAAAATCATATCAATTCCTTTAATTCTTCTAGGCTGAAGCTAACAAAATTATAAACAATTTCCTAAATTGATCTCTCCATTCCTTAGCAAAGATTTTATAAAAAAAATGTGAGCTTGACTACTATATATCATGGTCCAAAATGTAAATACTTTTTATCATTTGAGATTTCGATATTGAAATCCTACATTTAAAAGTAAAAACTCACATGGTCTGTTTCTTTTCCAAAAAAAATTTCAATGTTTACAGTGTTAGGAAAAAAAAAGTTGGTTATAGAACACTAATAATATTATCTTATTATTATGTTACTCCAAATTCATACAAAACAAATAAGAATACAAGAGATGACAAAATTACTAGTACTTAACAGGGGCGGACCCACAGCCAAGGTGGTGGGGGCAGCTGCCACCAGAAAAAAAAAAAAAAAAAAATTATTAAAAAATTATTAAATATTATTAGAAAACAAAATTTGTCTCCACCAAAAAAAATTAATTTTCATCCTTTTCTTGGAAAGCCCATTAACCCATGTACCAAAAAAATATATATTAATATATAAATTAAAGATTTATTAATCTAAACCTAATTTTTTTGTTATTTTCTTCTTCTTTAGTCCTTTGGTTTCTTTGTGTGACAACAAATCAACAACTGTCAATTTGTGAGTTTATTTTCCTGCTTTTTTTACAATCGTTTCTATTATATAAGCATTATTTTTTAGTCAGTTAATTTTATTTAATCAGTTCAAGCTTATAACTATGTTTCCTGGAAAACATTATATAGGTTTTTATGTTATACATGACTATATTAGTTTTTGCAGTGATAATTGTTTATATGTTTATTCTATGGTTAAGCTTTTATGAAAGTTTGTTACATAATTCAAAAATTTAAAATTAATAAATTTTAAAATATAAGTCTATAAATTCAAAATTTTCTAAATTTTTAATCAATAACATGTTTTTTTGTTTTTAATTATTTGAATCTGTCACAAATGAAAATGTGGTAAAAAGGTTTCAATTGTTAAATGAGCGTCTGAGTGGTTTTGTAAGATGTTTTAAAGTTTTTACATGACAATTTTATGTCTTTTATAATTTAGTATTTGATAGTTTTTTTTTATTATATTTTTGCCCCCATTGAACAAATTTTCTAGATCCGCCCCTGGTACTTAATACTTATTATATATTTTTTTATTTTCAAATTGTACAAAACTAAACAAAGGTCCCGCAACTTCCCACTACCACTACTAGTAAATAATAATAATAGTCGCCTTCAAGCTCATTCTTCAACATCCCACTAAAAATCTTGAAAACAAAAAAGTTGCTTTCATCAAAGTCCACCTAAAAAATAAAGGTAAAATGATAACAATCTCCAATATTTTAATCAAGTGAGCTTTTTGACAATTTGTTTCCCTCTACTGCAAATCCTACATTGATTCCATCTACAAAGCCTTTTTCACTTTGTTGGTTTTTACCTTTCCATCAGACGAAACAAGTGGGTGTGAGAGCGGGACAAGAAAACCATAGTCATTAGAGCAGAAGCAAATGCCATGTTGGACCGTTGGATTGCTGTACAAACTCATTTTTTTTTTGCACAAATCCTACTGTGGAGGATTTGTCTCAGGCTTCACCACTGAAGATGTATCCGGAGGCTGAGAATGGTAAATCGCCATTGCCAATGAGATAGGCATCATACAAAGAGCCTTTGACTGAAGAAGCTGCATGGCCGCTCCAACATTTTCTTCCATCAATTTAGCCACTTGACGTTCGGTCCCATCGTTAGACCATTTCTCCCACGCGGGTTGCGGAGCTCTTCCACCGTCACCCGTTTCATCCTAGTTTTTGACAAAAGAACGTTGAATGAGAACCCCATTACTAAAGTTTTGACCTTTTCTCTTTTCTTTCTTTAAAAAGTTTTTACCTCAACTGATGATGAAAGAGGCATATCAGTAACAAGTGGAGCAACCGCACCAGCTCCACCAAGTCGGCTCATGCTCAAAACCTACCAAAGTTGACCAAAGAGAGATATATATCATTTCAAAGAGATAAGCTTTATCCCACATTGAAAATTATAGATAAAGAAAAAAAAAGCTTTACTTTTAAAAATGAGCATGGAAGATTTCACAAGAAACACATTTTATTTTTAAAACAAAAAGGATGTACTATCTTATCAAAAACCCATCATTGCATTATGTTTCTTTAGTGTCTCCATTATCTTTTTAAGTAAAGCAGCTTTCTTTTTTTCGCTTGCGAGAGCTTTAAGTAACCGACTGCATTTTTCATATAAGAAGCATAATGTGATCAAATATAATGTGATCATGATGATTGTACAGTTAATGTTTGAATATGGTATTATAATCCTAAACTGTGATTAGCCTCCCTATGACAAAACAAAAAGTGAAATAAAGACTAAATGCCAAAGAAAGCAAAAGCATTTAGGACTTGTTTATTCTCTCCTACATTAAAAAACTGATCTAATCAGATTGAAATTTGGTTGAAGGGTAGGTGATGGTGGGACCAAAAGTTAGACCAGAGATCCATCTAGAGAATTTGAAAGATATAATTTTTAGATCACTAATCTTATGATATGAACAATCAGATTTAAGATATTGCATAGGGAATAATACAAAAAATTTCACATATGAATCTTAGACTGGTTATATACCTTAACTTGGAGCCTGAGAAACTTGACATAATCGACAATCTCATCGATCATCGCAGCTCTATCGGTCTGCAAATGAAGACGGGAGAAACATAAAGTGTTAAAAACCTTCTAGAACTCCACAGAAATGAGAAATGATCTCGCACAGGTCCGGGAGAAAGATACTGACCTTGTTCACAGTAGGTACAAGCTCCTGCAGTGCCCTGATCCGTTCTGCTATTCTTTCTCTACGTAGCTGCGAAAAAGTAAAAAAAACTTTCAGCTTATCCCTCCATAAAACCAAGAAATCACTACACGATGATACCATCTTCCTACTCAGAAACAATTTAGTCTACATATATTCACGATCAACAACTCGCCACCAACATGTATATCACAGGTAACTACAAAAGAGTATTCTGAAGTTTACCCGCTCAGCGATGCTATGTGGATCAGTAGCCTGACCACGCCTAGCTCGAACCCTAGGACGGATTGAGGTAGGCTGATGTGGCGCCGATGGAGCTGGCTGTTGCATTGGCTGCCCGTGGAAAACCTTCCAAACAACACAAAAAAAAAAAAATTAAAACCATTTGCCCAAGAATTCACTTCAAAAGTTGTAAAGGAAAGCACTTATTAGCACAAAATCATTCAAACTAACTGATTGTTTGTACAACAGAGTAACGACGGATAAATCAAGTTAGATGACAAGATCAGCACAGCTACATGAACTAGTACGAAGTTGTTCATAGAGCAACAAGAGCTGTGTAGTATAAATCTTTGATATTAGGTTATACAAAACAAACAAAATACGTTAGTTTCAACAATTCTTGAGCTCAAAAAGAAGCACCCAATGCAAATAAGTCAAAGTCCATATGTAAAAAGATTGGCTTTTTACTTGCCACATAAATCAAAAAACAAAAACAAAAGTTACCAAAAATGATCACTTTGAACCCTCAAATCCTAGCAAATCAAGAAGTTAAACTTACAGGTTTCATAGAAGAACATCGATTATCAACAACATCATCTGAGAATCGTTTCCCACTTCCATGTCCACCTTCAGGTCTGAGAAAGCCAGGTCCTTTCCCTTGATCAAGACTTAACCCCAGAGGAAACATCTGATTGTGAAACCCAGTTGGCCCACTTCCTCCTAAGCCACCCATATGACTTCCTTCGTCCCCAGAACCCAACTGCAACATCATCGGCGGTGCTCCGCCACCTAATCCGCCGTCAACTCCAGATAAACCAGCTCCAGCTGAGGCTGAGAAGTTAGGAAGACCGAGGATTTGCTCGAAGAAATCATCAGAAGGAGTTTGGTCAGAAAGGTTCTCGTGAGGGTTGTTACCAGCCATGGTTTGAGTTAAACAAAAAAAAAACAGAGACTTTGACTCGGACGAGTCAGTGTGAGTTACGATAAGCAAGTTGTAAACCTTCAAGGAGAGATTTACATGCGAAAGCTACACAGATTTCAATGTCCTTTTTTTTTTTTTGGTTTGATGAAAATTTTGATGCTTTAAAACGAATGAGGACGAAGAAGATAGAGACGAGAAAGGAGCAGAAGAAAAGTGAAAACTTTATGCTCTGTTTATAAAAATTATCTTTTTCAGTAAAGGACCTTACTTTTTCAGAGTATTTCGTATTTGCCATTTCCTTATTTGCCTTCCAGAAACAAAAACTAATGGGCTGAATTTTATCATAATTGGGCCTTCTTTTATATATCTTCTAAATTTAGGTAGGCCTTCAAATTCAAGCTGGGCCTTTTAAATGTAGTAATAGCAGAAGTTACAACTTACTCATTGCAAAAACCAGTTTAGAAAGCAAAGCTTTTGGAGCATGTCTCTGATATAAGACCAAACTTTTTGGTAAGTTTATGAGTGAATACACGCATGGCCTGCATTGGAAAACGAAAAGAAAAACTTTATGTTTGTTGCTGCAATTCAAACTGAAATTGTTGGTATAAGTCGACTCAACCAGATAAGTAGCCACCTAATGCCATGTATATGACCACGATATTGTTTTTTCTCCTTCCTCGGGTGAGGGCTGATACAAGGAAAGCTTCATTTTTTTATTGTCTCTACCAATGTTTGGAAAATTTATGGGAGTATTGTTTCTTTTGCTTTTTTGTTTTTGATGGTGACTAAGTTGTGTTGTTAATTAGTTTTTAAGAATTTGATCAGGTTTACAATGTTTTAACACGCATAGACTAGAATACCTTGTTCCACTAGTGTTAAACGTTTTCAAATGTTGGTGAAGAAATCGGATTTGCAAGAGCATTATTTCATCTATATGCTGAAGTTGGAGCAATGCCACCAGCTAGCTACACGATTGATGAGATAGCTCAGATGACTTTCACTCATTTCATCTTCTTTTCTTTGACGACCATGCATTTGAGTGTGGTATAAAAGTACTCTTCACTTTCCCTGACTTTGTTCCCTAAACTAAACATTAAAATCTCTATATTATGTTATATCCTAAAGAAAACTGCATCTCATTTATCTCGTATATATGTTGTTATTATTGTTGATCATTTGTCTTTCTAATAATTATGTTGTAGATGTGAATCTATCCGGTTTTTTCGAGCTAGTCAAGTTTGTTTGAAATTCGGTAATGGAGTCTTTTAGCTACTACGAAGTACGTGGTACTCGATAACACATATATTAAAAAAAAAACGTATGAAAGAAATGTAATGGTACTTTGGAAACCCTCTAAGCAAAGGAAAATATATTTACAAGTAATTAAAAGTTTTCCAAGCAACAAATTCGACAAAAAGTGGTGAGGAGCTTTGTAAAGAAGTGTAAATCTCATGTCATGTATTGCATTCAATCATTCTCCTATCAAACAATAATTTTCGTTTGTTTATTTATTTCTTATGGTGTTATAAATGATTGGTAGTTATCGATATTTTTAATATACATTTGATCTACGTATATGCAAAGACCAAAGATGTCCCTCATTGTATCGGTTGAAATTGTCAATAGACTCGTAACTTTTGCAAACAACTTGTCCAACAATGTCACCTTCAACTTTATATCAAATTACTATATTAGTAATCCCTTGACGTACATTTTCGATTTTCAAAACCACAACACTCAATAGACAAATGAGATGAGTCTGACTATACAGTTGACCCACATGCAAAATATAAAATAATTGACAGCGACTGCTCTCTCTCTCTCTAATCTAATCTTATGTGTGGAATCTTAAACTCTCTGTAATTTTCTTTACATAATCATCATCATATGTATCTATAAAAAAAGCAAAATTAGGATATGTGAACATGGAATTGGAAGCTTTAGTGACGAAACTATAAGAAAGAAGGGAATATTCGAATATGTGACTTTTAATACATAAGTTAAACTTAATAATTATGAGTGAATGCTTTAAATTGCAAACGGAATAGAACTGAAACGAATAATGTGGAGAAACTGGAAAGTGAAAAAACGCGTTTCCTAATTTGCCGCACTGTGTTTTATATAAAAAAAAAGGAGATTATAACTAAAATTTCTAAAAATGGTTATTAATTGTACAATCAAGAAGAAAGAACCTAAAGATTAATTACCATTAATCCATTATAATTAATCTTATCACCTTTATGAGTATTTCTTTTTTCTTATTATGTTGACAAATCAACAAAATAAGAAAATATAAAAACACAGAAAAATCTGTCTCTCACTCATTCATTCATCTTCTCTTCTTCGTCCCGACCCGACATTCCAGTGTGGTATATAAGAAAGAAAGACTCTTCCTTTGTCCGATTCATTTTTGTTGTTCTCAGATTTAAAATTCTCTTCCTTTTTTATTTTATTTCATTACAGAGAGATTTTGTAGGGAGAAAAATGGGTCACGGAGGAGAAGGGATGTCGCTTGAATTCACACCGACGTGGGTTGTCGCCGGAGTTTGTACTGTCATCGTCGCCATTTCTCTTGCCGTTGAGCGTTTGCTTCACTATTTCGGTACTGTTCTTAAGAAGAAGAAGCAAAAACCCCTTTACGAAGCTCTTCAAAAGGTTAAAGAAGGTACCCAACAACTACAACTACAACTACTACAGAGCAAAATCAAAAATCCTATCTTTTTTCTTTTTTTATTCTTTTCTTTTGAGTGGTGTTCTTTGTGAGAGTGGGTTCCACGGTTCTTTTCGAGTGCTTCTCTTCTGGGAACAGTGATTAGATCCTCCCCTTGATATTGTTCCTCAATTTTGGTTCTTAATGTTCTGCCTATGTCAGATTTGTACCTAGGTTGAGTCTTTAAAGTTTTACTCTTTAACTTCTTTTTTGTTTCGCTTTGGTTCAAATTTATTGATCTATGACAAATGCAGAGTTGATGTTATTAATATTGGGCCAATTTGTTTCATATAGCTTAAGTGAGATGTGATTGTGTCAGAGTATAAGCAGCTTTAATACTTCTGTTGTGTAGTGTTGCTTTAGCGTAAATGTTTGGCTCTTTGATAATATCACTTTGGGAATTGCAGAACTGATGTTGTTAGGGTTCATATCGCTGTTACTGACGGTATTCCAAGGACTCATTTCCAAATTATGTGTGAAAGAAGATGTGCTTATGCATATGCTTCCATGTTCACTTCATTCAAGAGCAGAAGCTGAGGAGAGTGGACATAAAAACGTTACAGCAAAAGAACATTTTCAGAGTTTCTTACCTATTGTTGGAACCACGAGGCGTCTACTTGCTGAACATGCTGCTGCACAAGCGGGTTATTGTACCCAAAAGGTAAACTATAATATAAAATACCTTTGGAGACTCCTTATATTCTTTTAGGTGTTTCTCTTGCTAATTATTTGGTTGAATCACTTCTTACTCCTCGCCTTCTTGTTTTCAGCATAAAGTACCATTACTTTCGGTTGAGGCATTGCACCATCTGCATATCTTCATCTTCGTTCTCGCCATATCCCATGTGACTTTCTGTGTTCTTACAGTCATTTTTGGAAGCACCAGGGTGAGCATTACCCACATAGAAGTTTTCTTACATTCATTTCTCAGTTTATGCAAAACTTTGCGGGTGTGGAACCGTGGTTTATTCATGTTTTCTATATAAATGCAGATCCACCAATGGAAGAAATGGGAGGATATGATTGCAGACGAGAAATTTGACCCTGAAACTGGTACTACATTGCACAAGTTATTCAGTTCATCAGATATATCAAATGATATATATACAAAATTTATGAAGATGCTAGCAGAATCTTGTACGTATTGTTTGGTTATTTGCTGTGCCTTTTGCAGCTCTTAGGAAAAAAAGGGTGACCCATGTACACAACCATGCTTTTATTAAAGAGCATTTTCTTGGTATTGGTAAAGACTCAGTCATTCTCGGATGGACGGTATGGTGTTTTCATATCACATTGCTTGTTTTATTTATGTTATTTTTCCTTTGTAACACCAGCCAATGTTGAGAATATGTTGTTTACATAACAGCTATCCTTTTTCAAGCAATTCTATGGATCTGTGACGAAATCAGATTATGTGACTTTACGTCTTGGTTTCATTACGGTAAAGTCTTGATTATTTTCAAGAGTTGAAAATTGGTAATGAAAAAAGTTGCTTTGATCACTTAGACTAATATCTATCTGGTTTTTGTACAGACACATTGTAAGGGAAATCCCAAGCTTAATTTCCACAAGTATATGATGCGTGCTCTGGAGGATGATTTCAAACAAGTTGTTGGTATTAGTTGGTATCTTTGGATCTTCGTCGTCATCTTCTTGCTGCTAAATGTTAATGGTATGCTTCAGAACTAGTTTTGATCTAAATGAAAAAAGTGTTTTGCCCTTTCTCAAATATACATTGGAGTCCTTTTTATATCGAAACTACACTTCTGTATCTTGCAGGATGGCACACATATTTCTGGATTGCATTCATTCCCTTTATTGTGAGTCAATTGTTTATTTCGCCATTTTCATTTTCTCAGATTGTGCTGATATCTCCTTTTAGTTAAACTTATTTTTGTTACCTATATTTTTGAAATTTCAAAGCTGCTTCTTGCTGTGGGAACAAAGTTGGAGCATGTGATTTCACAGTTAGCTCACGAAGTTGCAGAGAAACATATAGCCATTGAAGGAGACTTAGTGGTGAAACCCTCTGATGAGCACTTCTGGTTCAGCAAACCACAAATTGTGCTCTACTTGATCCATTTTATCCTTTTCCAAAATGCTTTCGAGATTGCATTTTTCTTTTGGATTTGGGTAAGTCAAGTTCTTTAATAAAAAATGAAACTCCAAGGTTCACTTATAATGGTTAAGACTAATAACTATATTCTAGGTTACATACGGCTTCGACTCTTGCATTATGGGACAGGTGAGATACATTGTTCCAAGATTGGTTATCGGGTAAGCGAAAATATTCAATGTTTTTTTCTTCTTTCTTTCATACACTGTTGATTTGATTCAGTTAGTTAATAAATCTTTGTATACCAATATATATTTCTTCTTATATTTAGGGTCTTCATTCAAGTGCTTTGCAGTTACAGTACACTGCCTCTTTACGCCATTGTCTCACAGGTAAAAAGCTAGTTTCTTGGAAAAAGCTGCAGAAGTCTGTTTTTTGAATATCTGAAAAATCGACCCTCGTCTTATGTTACAACAGATGGGAAGTAGCTTCAAGAAAGCTATATTTGAGGAGAATGTGCAGGTCGGTCTTGTTGGTTGGGCACAGAAAGTGAAGCAAAAGAGAGACCTAAAAACTGCAGCTAGTAATGGAAGCGAAGGAGACTCCCAGGCTGGTCCTGGTCCTGATGCTGGCTCTGCTCCTAGTGCTGGTTCTGCTCCCGCTGCTGGTCCTGGTGCAGGCTTTGCAGGGATTCAGCTAAGCAGATTAAGAAACAACGCAGCAGGGGACAAGAACAACGAGATTACACCTGATCATAACAATTGAGCGGAGAGATGATGTTTTCCTAAAGACGATCATCAAGGGCCGGTTTTGTTGTTATACATAAGTTATAGTGTGACATGATTTTTTTTTTTGTCTTGTTACAAAGTTGACTACATTGGGATTGGAATTGGGAACTGAATATGTTTGTATATTGTATTATTTGGAACATTGTAGTTAGGGATGCTCAACCTAGATGTTGGTTTGAGTTCCAGACAGTTTAATTATTTTGGTATTTGGGTTATGAATTTAGATATCAATGGAATTGGAAATCCAAATATTACAGTATTCTTTTACAGTGTAAATCCAAAATGATTTGTCTGAAACCGGATCTTCAGTTTGATTTTCAGATCGGTTTATTTTTGTTCGGTTCAAATGATTAAAACCGGAATTGGGTTTGACATTTCGATTCTAACTTATGCAGAGTGAGTCAAAGCCACACTACTCGCGCTACAGTCGCTACTTTGATCTTCTTCTTCGAATTCTAAAGCTCGTCAATGGATCTTCTCCAGAACCCTCCCGCCACCACCACGGTTGGTCTATCAGAGACTTTCGCTAGGTTAAAGACACAAGGCAAAGTAAGCAAACTCTCTTCAAATCCCCAAAGTTTCGATTTTGACTCCCCCTCCACAACTCTTTTGTTCTACAAACTCTTTTCGATTGTTGTTGAATACAACTTTTTTTGCAGGTGGCTCTGATTCCATATATCACAGCTGGTGATCCAGATCTTTCCACTACAGCAAAAGCTCTTAAAGTGCTTGATTCGTGTGGCTCGGACATTATCGAACTCGGTGTTCCTTACTCTGATCCATTGGCTGATGGTCCAGCAATCCAGGTTCGATCTACAAAAGCAGCAAAATTCAATCTTATTCGAGATATTTAAACCTTGTCGTTCTTGGCTTAGGCTGCTGCGAGACGTTCGTTACTTAAAGGAACCAACTTTAACTCCATTATCACTATGCTTAAAGAGGTGCGTCTGGTTTTGTGTACTACCTCTTGTAGCCTTTGTAGTTTTTTAGATGATGCAACCAGAACTCTCAATAGTGAATTTGATACACTTGGTTTTAGATTTCTTAAAATTGTTCCAAAATTTTCTCAGGTTATCCCTCAGTTATCTTGTCCAATTGCCTTGTTTACGTATTACAATCCGATCCTGAGGCGGGGAGTAGAGAACTATATGACTATTATAAAAGAGGCTGGAGTTCATGGTACATTAACATTTTCAAATTTTCTCCTGAGTAAAAATGCTTATGCTGTTTCAGGGCTCAATTTTGACACCATCTGCTTCCATTTATTGTGGTTCCTGTCTTCTTTACATTAACAATTTGTTACATAACATGGTGTCTCTTTATAGGCCTTCTTGTTCCTGATGTGCCGCTGGAGGAGACTGAGACTCTGCGGAGTGAAGCTCGGAAGCAGCAGATTGAACTAGTATGATATTTTCCTCTAGCTGTCAATTAACAGACAGCATATTTCATAGCAAGCTGTTTTCGTCCCTTTACCTTATATACAATGTTTTCCTCAAGGTACTGCTCACAACACCCACAACCCCGAAACATCGAATGACCGCCATTGTTGAAGCATCTGAAGGGTTTATCTATCTTGTAAGGATCACAGTTCAACGATTCCTTAGATCAGTACATGATGTGTATAATAAATTCGTGTTCTTTATGCATGAATTGAATGTTATAATCGAGGTCTTTTTAGGTAAGTTCAGTAGGAGTTACTGGTACAAGAGAGTCTGTTAACGAACAAGTCCAATCTCTTCTACAACAAATCAAAGAGGCAACAAGCAAACCGGTCGCAGTTGGATTTGGCATATCAAAACCTGAGCATGTGAAACAGGTTGGGCTGCGCATACACTGCATTACCAATATCTCGGCAATAAGATTTGCTAATCTGGCGTGGTTTGTTTGGCATTACAGGTTGCTGAATGGGGAGCAGACGGCGTCATTGTTGGTAGCGCGATGGTTAAGATCTTGGGTGAGTCTGAATCATCTGAGAAAGGATTAAAGGAGCTAGAAGTCTTCACTAAATCCTTAAAGTCTGCTCTGGTTTCTTGATTCTTGAATACACAATGATTTTCTCTTTATTGAATGCAAAGAACCAGATGAGACCACCATTGATTCTTAATATTATAACATCCATCTCCAAATAAAAATCAAGAGTTTTACATTATTGTGAATTTTTTGGTTGCGGAAAGAGAAATACAAGAATAACAAAAGCAAACAAATGATATAGGCTCAACAAGAAGGCAGAACGTATATGTTTAACGCTGTGACACGGATTCTGCAGAGAAGAGGTACTTGACACGGGAAAGAACTGAATCATGAGCAGGATCATAGGGATGGTCCTTGGAAGGGATCTCCAAGATTGCAGGAACTGGCTTGTTGTAGCTGTCCACCAAGAACCGGATCATATTGGCAATCTACAAGCATGAATAAATTAGTATAGCACATAAAAATAGAGCCTATGTCATTCAAGCTCATGAATATTATATGTCTCGAAGGCCTGGTGCAAAGTGGCCTCATCTTATGTTTCTTCACACATTTGATACAATGATATACTAATTGCTGGGAGAAAGATAGCAAAACTACCCTATATGATGGTGACCTTGATCCATGATTAAAAGGGTGCATGCAGGCAAGGGATATAGTAATTAATGGCAGTAAACACAAGGGGCTCAATAAAGTGGAGAAGTACAAGTCATGAATTCTTTGATAAGGACTAAAATAACACATCACAGACACAGCAGTTAAGATGAGTAGCAAGTACAAGTATACTGGACTTGGAAGAAAGCACTTACATATTGGCTTAAAAGAATGATAGCGATATCATCCCTTGCAGAGAATTCCTTGAAAGCATCCTCAATTTGTCTCACAGTTGTCTCTAAAAGACAAAAATAAGATTGAAAGAAAGGAAAAATCAATTATTCAGAAGACTAGAGGGTAAGATTATACAATTCTACAGATATAGAAGTTAGGAAAGTTATCTCCTAACAAGACCACATTAAAAACTTGAGTTGATGCAAAACTTCCTTCCACTAACTCGAATTTATCAAAGGGATACATACCACTTTGAGCTACCTGACATAATTTGATTCATGATTGAAAACATTATCTTTCCTAAAGATCCTTATGATGAGTTCAAAAACATACTTGAATCCACGATGAGGTAATTTGTCTTCCTCCTTATGTCAACATTACCAACTCCAGCCATCAAAAATCCAACTACAGTGTCCTGTACACAAAATTTTAGCCAAGTAAGAGACGTTGGAGATTAGAAAAGGGTTATCAACAACGGATAGTTTCAAACAACTCTGCCACTAATTGATAACAAGGAGGAACTTGCAAGCTAAGTCAGAAATAAGAGAAAAGACTAAGCCTTTCTGATGGAATACAATTGAGAAAATCCAATTCTTATGCCAGAACAGTTGGAATTAACACAGAAAACCTAAATCCCTTGCTATTCAGTGATCATGATGCAGTTTTTACGAAGAGTTTAAAGAAGATTTTTACTCCTTAGTTTCCTGATTCGTGCATCAGATGAATTCAACATTCAGCGATATCAGATCTGGTCTGATCCGAAATCAAGAGAAAAACAAAACTTAGGAAAAAGCTAATCTAGGGTTCACTACTACCAAAAAGATTACGAATTTTCACATAACAAATACAAAGTCAAGCAATTTACAGACAACACAAATCCGTGTACCCACAACAACGCATTGATTTAGTTCAGATCAAATCTCAGAAATTCAAAACTCAACACAGTACGATCCTAAATTAAATAAGAAAACCAACATTATTCTAAACAATCAAAAGATGAGATTTTTTCGGTAACGAGTTTACCTCATCGGCGATCATTGCAATGAGGGCAGAGTTGCGAGCAGGGATCGGAGCTCTCCCAGCCATATTGCGATTCAACTACACACAAAACCCAGAAACAAAATCAATCAATCCAGCGAAGACAATTATCGAAAATTGAGTACAAAACCTAATTCAATCCCTGATCTTAGATTGAATACGGAGAAAAAGCTCCGAGATTTTCACTCATTACCTAATTTTCTCTGTTCTTCTCGTTTTTTCGATTTGATTTGATAGATAGATTTGTAAATCACTACCACAGAGACACCACGCGCAAAAAAAACTTGAAGTCAGACCACGATTCAATTGACTATATTACCCCTCACTTCTACTCTTAATAACAATACTAACCCTCCTTTAATAATTGATCCTTTCACAATTAACAGTAAAAGTGGCAAAAGTGTAAAATAAAACCATGATATGAGGCAAGTCCCATCAAAGCCAGCTTGCCTCTTCGAGGGTAAAGTTGTCTTTTACCATACCTCTCTTTTGTCTCTATTTCAGAGAAACCTCCTGTGATATTATTATTATATGTGAAGCAGAGCAAAAGCAAAAAAATCTAGAAGAAGAAGAAGGAGAAGGAGAGGGAGAAGAGTGAGTGGAGCTGCAATGGCGGATTCTCACTCTCTCAACAATCAGCTGTCGAGACACACTTCTATATTTGGTTTGCGTTTATGGGTCGTTCTCGGCGTTTGCGTTGGAGCCGCGATCGTTCTTTTACTCGTTCTCATCTCTCTCTGGTTTATTTACCGACGAAGCAACAAGGACAAGTCTCTTGACTCTTCTTCTTCTAAGTCAAACCATACGATTGTTCCCGTTGTTTCTAAGGAGATTCAAGAGATTCGGGTCGACCCGTCTCGACCACCGACTCATCCCGACCCAACTCCGGAGACAGACCAAGCTGTGACTAAACAAAGAGAAGACGATACCAAAATCCACATCGAAATTGGAAAAGATCATCGGATTTCTTACCCGGAAAGAGGTGGTTGGACTGGTTCCGGGTCTGGGTCCGGGTCGGGTGATCAGGGTTTACTCATGTCGTCGGGTCCTGAGGTTTCTCATTTAGGTTGGGGGCATTGGTATACGTTGAGAGAGCTTGAGGTTTCTACTAATGGATTCGCCGACGAGAATGTGATCGGACAAGGAGGGTATGGGATTGTGTATAGAGGTGTTCTTGAGGACAAATCAATGGTGGCTATAAAGAATCTGCTCAACAACAAAGGACAAGCTGAGAGAGAATTCAAAGTTGAAGTTGAAGCTATAGGACGAGTGAGACACAAGAATCTGGTGAGATTGCTTGGTTATTGCGTTGAAGGAGCTCATAGGATGTTAGTTTACGAATATGTTGATAATGGGAATTTAGAACAGTGGCTTCATGGTGGTGGTTTGGGATTTAAGAGTCCTCTTACTTGGGAAATTAGAATGAACATTGTTCTTGGAACAGCTAAAGGGTTGATGTATTTACACGAAGGTCTAGAGCCTAAGGTTGTTCACCGCGATATCAAATCGAGTAATATCTTGCTTGACAAGCAATGGAACTCGAAAGTTTCCGACTTTGGCCTAGCTAAGCTCTTGGGTTCAGAGATGAGCTATGTGACTACTCGTGTGATGGGTACGTTTGGATATGTGGCTCCTGAATACGCGAGTACCGGGATGTTGAATGAGAGGAGCGATATATATAGCTTTGGTGTTCTGGTTATGGAGATCATTTCAGGGAGGAGTCCCGTGGATTACAGCCGGGCTCCAGGAGAAGTGAATCTTGTGGAATGGTTGAAGAGAATGGTCACGAATCGAGAAGCAGAAGGGGTTTTGGATCCGAGGATGATTGAGAAACCGTCGTTGAGGTCATTAAAGCGTACCCTTTTGGTAGCGTTAAGATGTGTTGATCCTAATGCTCAGAAGAGACCAAAGATGGGTCATATCATTCACATGCTTGAAGCAGAGGACTTAAACTCTAAAGATGATCGAAGAAACTCCAGTGGAGGAGGAGGTGTAGAACCAGAAAGGTCACCGCGGAGGAAGACAGTTGTGAATGAATCAGCCGATGAGAGTGGTGATTCTGCTCTGATCAACAATGACCAATTAGCTTTGGAGAAGAAGGAAAGTCAGTAAAAGAGAGATGCTTTGGCATAATAATTTTGTAAACTGTATTTAGAAGTTTTGTGTGTATGTGTGTAGATTTTTGTAATTTTGCAATAATTAAAAATGTGGGTTGGAAACAAATATCTACAATATATGGATTTTTGTTGTTGTTTTCTTTAGGTTTGGTCGGTTGTAAATTTGTAATATAGTATAAGTAGTAAATAGTGAGTTGTGTTATTGGTGATTAGCATCTATCTACTGTAATATAACATAGTGATTTGTTTGTTCTGCTTTAATTTTGGTGGCATTTATACTGTCTTTTGATCTATGTTTACAAACAAAAGAAATACAGTAGAGAGAATTTCATGATTTTCTTTTGTGACTAAGATTTGCGTATGTTACTTATTGTGAATTAAATATATAGTCCAAGGTTTATATCAATTTACTTGTTGTATCACCACTAGTCAGTTGAATAAATCAAAATTTGATGAATTATTAATCAAATAAGAATGGTAGCTATGAAAAATATTCCATTTCATGGTTGACGTTATACGAATATTAGTATTGTAAAAACTATTAAAAATCAGAATATGTAAAGAAATTAAATATAAATGTAAAACAAAACATGTTTAAATTTTGGACGTACGTAGAAAATAGAGAATATACTTTCGTAGGTGGACAAAGAGAGCTTAGCGAGAGCGAGAGAGATGAAGGGAGAGTTCTAAAACAAAACCCAATTTCAAGCAGCTATAATTAGTCCAGTAGTCCTCATGCTCAAACTGATAGATGTGTTATCTTCATTTTAATGGGCAATAATGCAAATTAATGACATCTGAACGAAACATTGACTTAAATATAGTTGCTGTCTGACCTTTTCTTTCATGATAGTTGAGGAAAACATTGACTTTATGCTTATTCCTCCTGGTCTCCCTAAAAGTAAACATTACTTGCTTTTCTAGAATTTTTTTAGCAGGATGGGAAACTGTGTAGCATTTCAAATATCATGCGATTAATTGTTGAATCATGCTTGTGGCTGCTTATTTGGTGATCAAAATTACATTCTCATGATGGAAGGAAATCTCGAGGCTCTGGAGAACACTATGCAAGAACTCGAGGCCAAACGAGATGATCTGTTAAGAAGAGTTGTCTTAGAGGAAGACAGAGGTTTGCAGCGGCTTGCTCAAGTCCAAGGGTAGAAAATGTTGCCTCCCAAGTCAATGATCTGCTTAAGGCTAGATCAGATCAAACCAGAAGATTGTGTCTCTGCGGATACTGTTCCCAAAATCTCATATCAAGCTGTGATTATGGTAAAAAGTTAGCCAAGAAATTGATAGCAGAGAAATTGGTGGCAGAGAAATTTTCTGTACCTAAGGTGAAGGAGAAGCATATCCAAACCACGGTTGGTTTGGATACAACTGTCGAAAGCGTATGGAACCACCTCATGAGAGATGGAAGCAGAACTTTGGGTGTTTATGGTAATGGGGGGAGTAGGCAAAACCACTCTATTGGCTCGTATTAACAACAAGTTCCTTGAAGTGGTGAGTGGATTTGATATTGTGATTTGGGTTGTGGTCTCCAAAGATTTGCAAAACGAGGTCATCCAAGAGCAGATATTGGTAAGACTAGTCCTCGACAAGGAATGTACACAAAAAACCGAAATGGAGAAAGCCTCTTACATATACAATATCCTCAACAGAAAGAAACTTGTGTTGTTATTGGATAATATATGGAGCAAAGTAGATTTGAACAAAATAGGAGTTCCACCTCGAACTCAAAGAAATGGATCCAAGATACTTGTCACCACTCGCTCTAAAGAATTTTGCAACGACATGGAGGTTGGTGAGACAATGGAAGTTAAGTGTTTGTCTCCAAATGAAGCTTGGGACTTGTGCCAAAGGAAAGTTGGAGAAATCACGTTAAAGAGCCATAATGATATTCCTGCACTTGCTGGAAAAGTTGCTGAAAAATGTTGTGGCTTGCCACTTGCTCTCAGTGTCATTGGCAAAGCTATGTCATGTAAAGAGACTATACAAGAATGGCATCATGCGGTTGATGTGCTGAATTCTTCTAGCCTCCACTATCCAGGCATGGAGTTATGATGGTTTGAAGGATGAAAAAGTCAAATCTTGCTTCCTGTACTGTTCTTTGTTTCCGGAAGATTCTGAAATTGTGAAGGAGGAGTTGATAGAACATTGGATATGCCAAGGGATTTATAGATGGAAATGGAGATAAAGATGTAGCTAACTACCAAGGCCATGATATCATTGGTTCATTAGTTCGTGCACATTTATTGATGAATTGTGTTTGAATTTTCATGGTATTTTTTTTGTGACTAAAGATTTTCATATGTTACATTTTTAATAGAGTAAAATATACAATCTAATGGTTTACGTTAGTTTCCATGTTTTATATCACACCACCACTAGTCAACTGAATAAATCAAATTTTGATGAATAATCAAATAAAAATGTTGGCAAATAAAAGTTACCTTTTTCATGGAAACATTAGTGGTCGTTATACGAATAATAATATTATAACACTATTCAAAAATCAGAATATGTAAAAGAAATTAAAGATACCATATATATCAAAAAAAATATATAGATATATATATTTTTTTTGAACGAGAAAGAGAAATATATATATGTTGTTTTTGTTTTTTGTACGTATTTTAGAAAAAGAGAGAATATTCTTTTTTGTGGGTGGACCTAAATGCAAATAGGCAAAAGAACCGACCAAAAGAAAGAAGAATCAGAAAGTGAACCAAAGAGAGAGAGAGAGAGAGAGAGAGAGAGCGATGAACAGTATCTTCTCCATTGACGATTTCTCCGATCCTTTCTGGGAAACACCTCCGATTCCTCTTAATCCCGACTCAGCCAAGAACCCTACGTCGGCTGAAGTCAGCCAGAGTCAACCGGAATGGACTTTCGAGATGTTTCTCGAAGAGATTTCGATTTCTTCTTCCGCGGTGAGCTCTGAGCCACTTGGAAACAACAACGCCATCGTCGGTGTTTCTTCGGCTCAGTCTCTTCCTTCTGTTTCTGGACAGAATGATTTCGAGGACGATAGTCGATTTCGCGATCGCGATTCGGGGAATTGGGATTGTGCTGCTCCTCCTCCTCCTACGACGGTGGTTGTTGATTCTGATGATTACCGTCGTGTTCTCAAGAACAAGCTTGAGACTGAGTGCGCTACTGTTGTTGCTCTTAGGGTTTGTTTGCTAATCTTCTGTTACCCTCTTTTTTTAGTTTATTACGTGTGTAATTTGTGTGTTTGTTAATCTGAATCTCAAGCTTCTAATACTCGTTCTCTCCGTAGGTTGGGTCTGTCAAGCCTGAAGATTCGACTAGTTCTCCAGAAACTCAACTTCAACCAGCTCAATCCAATCCTCTAACTCAAGGTAAATTCCTTGTTATCTTTCTTATAGTTCTTGTGATCGAAGATTACATGTAGATTCGTGTCTCTGTTATGAACGTGTTCTGTGTTTGTTAATTCTAATGCCTAGTTAAGGAAATTGTGCTTTCGAAATGGGACATGGTAACCTTTGTTGTTGTTGGATGATGCGCCTAATTTTATTAGTCAAGTTTTAATCTTTTGTGACTTTCTAAACCACCAATAAGATTGGGATTGAGGTGGATTCTTGTGGCTAGCTCAAAATTTCTTTTGAACAGAAGCCCTTTTTATCTTTCAGATATCTCTTTGAGGCTTTCACATTGTAAGTTTAATGGTGGTAGGTTCTTTGGTGGCCCCAGGAAAAATTGGTGTTACTTCTTCCTTACCAGCTGAGCTGAAAAAATCTGGTGTACCAATGAAGCAAGTCACTAGTGGATCTTCAAGAGATTATTCTGATGATGATGACCTTGATGAAGAGAATGAAACCACTGGTTCCTTGAATCCAGAGGATGTAAAGAAATCTAGAAGGTAATGATTCTTTTTCTCCATAGTTCTTGTCGTTTAAAGCTTACCTTTACAGTGATACAGTTTTAGAGCCTTGTTCTTCCTTTAATATTTGTAGGATGCTCTCAAATCGAGAGTCAGCTAGGCGATCTAGAAGGAGAAAGCAGGAGCAAACAAGTGATCTCGAAACACAGGTTTTGCATCATATCCTCTCGACACCTTATTTTCTTTCTGTCAAATAATACTAATGAGTACTGATTTCTAATGTGGTAGGTTAATGACCTAAAGGGTGAACATTCATCTCTTCTAAAGCAACTGAGCAACATGAATCACAAGTATGATGAAGCTGCTGTTGGGAATAGAATACTAAAAGCTGACATTGAGACATTAAGAGCTAAGGTAAGAAGACTCCAACAGTCTTCCCCTCTCCTTTTTCTGAAGCACCCTTATATTTTGGGTATGATTATAGTAAATTTTCGTGTTATGTTAAGGTGAAAATGGCTGAAGAAACCGTAAAGAGAGTAACAGGAATGAATCCGATGCTTCTCGGGAGATCTAGTGGACATAACAACAACAGAATGCCAGTAACTGGTAACAACAGGATGGATTCTTCTAGCAATAATCCAGCTTTTCAACCACACTCAAACCTTAATCATATGTCAAATCCAAACGTCGGGATCCCAAACATTCTACCTCCAAGACTGGGAAACAATTTTGTTCCCCCTCCGTCCTTGAACTCCCAAGCCAACTTGCCGTTGCAGAGAATAAGAAATGGGCAAAATCACCATGTTGCTCCAAACGGCAACACTTACGGCTGGACTACTGAACCTCAGAACGATTCAGCATGGTAAGCTAAAACAGTGGCTCTTTTTTTCAAGACCATTGAACAATTTAAAAACATTTTTATACATATCAGATTCCTCTTTCCCCTTTTTCCGCTCATTTTACAGGCCGAAAAAATGCGTGGACTGATGAAACGAGAAGCGGATTTCACACTATTAATGCCTCTGCATTTGTAATTTGTAAGTGTTATAAGCTATGATCCATGAGAAAACATTTTGTGAAAAATACAGTCTCATGGCTTATATACAACAGTCATGTACTCATCATGTCTTATAACATTACTAAGATTCTTAATAAGAAAGAATCGTGTTTCTATTTATAGCTTAATAACAGAGTGGAGATCTGTTTTTATCCAATTAGAAAAAAAAGAGAAAAGAAAGGTCAAATCATATCCCACATGCCTTTTCTAAATTTCCTCCTGCCATTTAATTCCGACAACCTCGGCGATCTCCGTGGTAGATCGATCAAGCAACCACATTTGCTTTTTTGTTCAGAAAGACAAAAACAAAAAGAAACAGAGGAGAAAACGAGACGACGACGACGACGACAAACTAGTAAAAGAAATTAAAAAAAGGCGTCGTTCTTCCCTTATTTTCTCCTCCGTATCTCTCTTCCTCTGTATTTACGGTGTACGTTTGGTCGAAATGGGTTCCAGTAAACTGAAACGCGCCATTGGAGCCGTGAAAGATCAAACAAGCGTAGGATTAGCCAAAGTCGGAGGTCGAAGCAGCTCTTTAACGGAACTCGAAGTAGCCGTCGTGAAAGCTACGCGGCACGACGAACATCCAGCGGAGGAGAAATACATCAGAGAGATCTTAAGCCTAATGTCTTACTCACGTAATTATGTAAGCGCTTGTGTGGTAACTCTCGCGAGACGACTCAACAAGACCAAGAACTGGTCGGTTGCTCTCAAAACCTTGATTTTGATCCAAAGGCTGTTAACAGACGGCGATCGAGCCTACGAGCAAGAGATCTTCTTCGCAACAAGAAGAGGAACGAGATTGCTTAACATGTCTGATTTCAGAGACGCGAGTCTGTCTCATTCGTGGGATTACTCTGCTTTTGTTCGGACTTATGCTTTGTATTTGGACGAGCGGCTTGATTTCCGGATGCAAGGAAAGAAAGGGAAACACGGCGGTGATGGTGATTCCGGTGACGAAGATGATCGTCGAGAAACCTGTACCGATCTTCGGTCAAGAGCTATTGTTGTTAAGTCTAAACCCGTCACAGAGATGAAAACAGAGAAAATCTTCATTAGAGTACAACACTTACAACAGCTTCTTGATCGGTTCTTAGCTTGTCGTCCCACAGGTAATAATTGATTAACAACAACTACTTACAATTAGAAATGAGATCCAGGCCTCTCCATCATCATCTCTTTCCTTGAAATCCACGTATTTCCTACTTTGGACTTAGCTTGGTTAATAAGTTAGGTTTTTGCAACAGGTACTGCGAAGAACAACAGAGTGGTGATTGTGGCTTTGTATCCAATAGTAAAAGAGAGTTTTCAGATATACTATAACATCACTGAGATAATGGGAGTATTAATAGATCGATTCATGGAACTAGACATTCATGATTCGATCAAAGTCTATGATATCTTCTGTCGAGTTTCTAAACAATTCGACGAGTTAGATCCCTTTTACGGATGGTGTAAGAACATGGGAGTTGCAAGATCTTCAGAGTATCCAGAATTGGAAAAGATCACACAGAAGAAACTTGATCTCATGGACGAGTTTATAAAAGATAAATCAGCTTTAGCTGCACAAACAATAAAATCATCATCAAAAAAGTCTAACAAATCGGAGAAAAAAACAGAGGAAACAACCGAAACTCATGAAGATTTAAACTCCATTAAAGCTTTACCAGCACCGAAACACGAAGAAGAAGAGGAAGAAAACGAAGAAGAAAAAATGGAAACAAAGAGAGATTTTGAGGAAGTGGCTTCAAGACAAGACCAAGAGGGTAATTTGCTGGATTTAACGGATGAAGCAGGTGAAATGGCAGGTTCGATTGGTGATAGTTTGGCTTTAGCGTTGTTCGATGGAGCGGTTGCGACTGAAAGCGTGTCTGGACCAGGGTGGGAAGCGTTTAACGATGATTCGACAGATTGGGAGACTGCACTGGTGAAATCGGCAACAAGATTGTCAGGTCAAAAGAGTGAGCTTGGAGGAGGATTTGATAGTTTGTTGCTTGATGGAATGTATCAGTATGGCACGGTTAATGCTGCGGTTAAAGCATCTACAGCTTACGGAAGTAGTGGAAGTGCAAGTAGTGTGGCTTTTGGTTCTGCAGGAAGACCAGCAGGTAAAAACAGATTTATAACGACAAATCCTTTTTTCAATTTATCTTAGTTGAAAGAGTGAAATGGCACACATTATTTTTAGGTTAATGTGGTTTAACTGGATTGTTTTTGAACTAAAATGGTGATGCAGCCTCAATGTTAGCATTGCCAGCACCGCCACCAACAACCAACGGTAACAGAATCGGAAGTAAAAGTCCGGTAATGATGGACCCATTCGCGGCGTCGCTAGAGGTGGCTCCACCACCGTACGTGCAAATGAATGATATGGAGAAAAAACAAAGATTGTTAATGGAAGAACAAATAATGTGGGATCAATATAACAGAAATGGAAGACAAGGTCACATGAATTTTGGACAAAACCAACAACAACAACAACATTATCAACATCCATACTCCATGGGACCTTATTCTTACACACCTCGATATTGAAATTCTATAAACAAACAAAACAACAACAATTCACCATTGAAGAGCTTGAAGGAAAGGTATATATTTTTTTGGTTGTTCCTCTTAACATTGTAAACTCTCTTCTGATCCATTTTACTTTGTAAACTTGTAAGAGTTGAAGAAAGAAAAGAAACATAAATATGATGTGCCTTAATATCTTCTTTCATTATCTTCGGGTCTTTTTTATTTATGTTAACTATAATCATACGACTTTTAACAATCTAAAAATATTCTACAACAAAAATTATAAATGACAATGTCTAAACTGTAATATAGTTTTGAAATTGGTGAACAAAACCTATGAAACTATGTTATAAACCAAACTGATGAGTAAAACTGACGAAACATATGAAACCCCCCAATTTTCTAATGTTAACAAACATTTAAAGCCCCTCAATTTTGACTTCGTAAACTGAATTTTTTAATGCGAAACAAGTTTCAAGTCTCTCATTCTCTCTATATATATATGTCTATGCACTTTGTATCTTCACAGAAACATCAAGAGAAGCCAAAAGCAATGAAGCCTTCCATGAGCATCGTCGTCGTCGTCTTCTTTGTGACCTTCCAGGCCATCTCTGCTTTTAACCCTGAGGAAACTTGCATACGAAGAAACATCGACAGGTCGCAAGCTCCAAAGTCTTCACTAGAACCCAAGACGCCAATGTTCGACTCTCTTAGGGACACTTTTTGCAGAGACATGGCTCGTGCTGTCATGTTCTATGTGAGGATAACAGGAAAATTACCATCTCACTATGTGAAGGCCATGTGCAATGTGTTTGGAAATGATGAGAAGAAAGTGAAGGAGTATGTTATGGACAAGTGGTTGGGAGGTTCGAAGCTCGTGTCTAATTTATCTTGTCCTCTTCCTTGATATGTTCTGGGATTGGCATTCAAAAGTTAAGAAACCACTACTATGATTTTGTACTTTTAGAGTAATAGTCCAAATTAAAAGTTCTTAAGCAACTATAGTAACAAAATAGATGATTACAACTGAGAAATATATAGATTGGGCTCTAATACTGAATGTTTTGTCCAGCTTATTCTTTACAGAAAAGTCTACTGTACACACAAATACCCTGTTAACTATACATTTGCACAAATACTAAAGACAAGCCTGTTGGTTATTGTCAAATGAAAGCGTTTTTGTCTCGCTTTGTTGTTTCTCCTTTCTGCAACAACATTTAATCTGCAAATCTGCAGATGAAGAAAAATCAGTTTAAGGTAAGAGATTAAACAAAGGCAAAACTTTTCCAAGAGGTCTTTTGACTTTTATCTACCTCCTATAGGTGCTTCAGTCCTTGAGTCTCCTGACCATCAATAATTGGTCTAGATTCTATTCCTAGTTCTAGATGATACTTCTGACTCTAAACTATGAAGCTTTTTTGAATGAAGCTTTTAATATCTCATCTGGTATTGTCCATGAAAGCAAATGTCCAGCTGAATCACCACTCAGTAGTTGCTTCAGGTCGATTGTGAGATGTAAAGCAGTGACCGGTTTCTTATGAAATTTCAACTCCTTGTGTAGAAGCAACTTGTATTCTGGCACCTGATCCCCCAAATGTATCCCTCTTGTTCTGTTGCTAGCATTTTTGTTCTCCGCACTCAGCGGATCAGTACAATGTACCATCTGCCACACTCTAAGTACCCCGCTTTGATGACCAGTCACGTACCAGGTTGTTTCCAGCCAGTCAGAAAACGTTGAGCCTGTTATGGATACTATCAAATCTGACGGTAATTGTGAAGTGTTAACCACAGCAAGGCAATCGCCATTGATGCTCCAAACCGCAAGTAAAGTTCCAGCAGCAGTTATGATTTCTCCTGTAAGGTCATTTATGTAGATTGCTGAGATGGGAACCGAAAAATTCGGAAGCTGCCTTGAAAAACTTAAAGAACTGAGATCCCATATCACTACTGTACAGTCATCTGAACCACTTGCAATCATCATATAAGGTTGGCTTACACGTAGACAAGTGACCTTGGCTGTGTGTGCACATAGGGATTTCTCCAACTGTAAACGCCGTGAACCACGCAAGCCATCCTTGTTGACTCTCCACACAGAGACTACACCATCGTCTGCTCCAGTGACCACACTGCGCCCATCATGACTAAAACCTGCACACTGTATCTGGTTGCCTTCATGGAGATTTTCATGGGTGGATAAGAGCTTGTCCTGGTCATAGCTCATAAATCTCAAACTCATGTCTGGAAAACCCCATCTTATGTATTTCTTATAGCCTCTGGATTTCAGGAAACAGTTAGAGCCGGCAACAAGCAACCTCTCATTGAAAGTGATGATCTGGTTTATAGATGATGAGAATTTACGTATTTCACGAGGAACAAGATGCATCGAGTGTTTCAGAGGATGCGGTGGGAATTTTCTGTCTGTCCTTCTTTTAACATGAGGTTTCTGGAATAGTTGCTTTGGTGTTTGTCCAAAATGGTTAATCTGTGCTAGTATGGATGCCTTCATGGTAGGATCTGTAACTGCATCCACATCCACATTCCCCTCATAGGTGTAATGATAGAAAACATTTACAGCTTTTTCTGCAGCCTGAAAAAAAAAACCTCATGATTAGATATTTTGGAGCAAATTCTCTGTTGGCCACCAAACTGATAACAAATAGTGTACCATTCCTCTCTGTTTGTGCCCAAATATGAGATCTATCCAATGATGCAGATTCTCTGAAACATAATCGGACTCTAAAGCTTCTCTGTGCTTGCGGATGAATTCACGAACACTCCCTCTAGCCCAAGGAGGTAAAAATACGTTACTCACCTATAATAATACAGGGAACTTTCTCATGAAGGAAAACAGAGAATTTAATGTACATTCATCTATTAAAGCACCATGAGAACAACTAAGTTTACCTTTTCCCCTGACTGTTTTTCACCCAAATCAAGGTAAAATCTATTTTCTAAGAATTCAGGCATGTAGAAAAATTCAGGAATTAGTTCTTTCACATCTGATGTATTTCCTTTTCCAGCTGCACTTAGCCAAGTTTCTTTAATACTATTAAAAAGTCGATCAGCATGATCAAATTGACCACCCTGCAGCTTCTGATTTTCAGCACTGAATGGTGGTAGGCGAATAAGGTAAAACAAAACAATGCCAGCGCTTGAATAGTGAGAACCGTAATGAAATTTTGGAACCTCTGGATCATCCCAGCTCTCATATCTGAAATGAAAAGGAAAGCATGAGAAGCAGTTATTGAATATGATTGCAACATTAAAAAGGAAAAACTGTAGTATGGTGAAGACACACTAAACATAGTTCAGTAAACCTTTTCCTAAATTCTTCTTCTCCTTCAGACGTCTGGCAACCCATTGGTTTGTCAAGCTTGCGAAAATTCTTTGGATCTGACAAATCAAGACTCTCGCTATCATAATCTGCTAGGATCCACGGAAATACTGGATACTGTGTGAGATCACTGTATCCACGCCCTGCTAAGGTGTTGAGATGCATTAGGTATTGGAAATTGCTGATCTCCCCATTTTGCCATCTTTTCGTGAAAGACTTTGCCATTAATTTGAATAGACGGCTACCCTCTTTACTTTCCTGTTGCGCAGATCCTGATATGGTTGTATCGAGCCTGAAAAAAAAAACATAAGAGAATAACAACAACTTCATAGATTTAGGGAAGGCCTCATGGAGGAATAAGCTATATAGTGCTCAGCACTTTTGTTAGTGACTAGAGAAAAATGAGAAACAGAGAATATGCTCAGAGCGTCAAATTTAAAAGAAAAATAAAATGAGATGAATAGCAACAAGATGACATACATGCTGTTCCTTGGAAGATTCATGGCAAGGAGATTTCTGAATACTTCTTCCCTCTCTTTCTTGTGGAACACGAGGAGGTCATTACATCCATCCATGCTAAATATCTCAACAGCAACTGGACGCAGCTCGTAATCACGTTTTAAAATCTCATGAACACTATCTAGCTTCCACATACGCCAAGGATGTGGCAAGTTACCAGTCACACGCACTTTTTCCTTCCCCCAAGCCCCACCACCATATGCCCACGCTCTGCCCCCTACATTGCTGTTTTTCATAGTTGTACTCCATAATCTGCTAGACTTGGACTGTGATTCCAAGCTTCCGGTGAATTGTTTTGTTACACCTAGAGCCTGATCAATAATGGATAGCTCGTCTTCCCATTCCTTCTCACAGATACATCCATGATCATCAATGTAAAAATTCTCTATCACATATAGGCAGAGTTCTCCTATTAAGAAGATCCCATCATGTTTGTCCAAACCAACAACTCTCTCACAGTTATATCGGAACCTAATCTTTTCAAGATGTTCCAGATAAGGTCTGATCCAATACTCACCATCATCATTCAGGCCCTTCTCTGATTTTTCCTCCACAGCTCTGATTTCGTCCATTTTACCAGAAGATGACTTTATAGGAGATCCTGTCTCAGATATTGCATCTGTGTTTATGCTTATCGGAATAGATGCTGTACTACTAGACTTGCCACCAAAAGAAAGAGTATTCTGAAGATTTGCCTCACTTTTGCTACTAGCTCTACAATTATTCCATCCATTTCTAGCAGAAGGAACATCCTTATGGTCATCAGCTTCTTCGAAAAATGACTCGCTATAAAGTTCACTTAGCAGGAAAGCTTGCTCAGAATCCATATCAGAAATAACTAGGCCATCTTCATTTTTGGATTTGAATAGCTCAATTCCCCCAAGCTCCAACCCTTCTAGTAAATTATGGATGCTATCAATTTTCAGTTTACATCGTTCAAGCTTTTTCCGCATTCTATATGGGCCTTCAATAGGACAGAGTTGCCATTTATCTTCATAACCCTGTGAAATACGCAATGGGAATATACCACGTTCGTGTACAAGTTGTTGGAGATGAGTTTGCCACACACTCTCGGCATGAAGAACTGAAGCATATTTATTTTGTCGGACAACTCGAAGCTCAGTGGACATTGTATCATGTACTATTTCAAGTTCATATCTTCGCTCGTTTACCTGCTCCCAGTGTTTCTGGTCTAACTTTGACGTATCTCGTGATTTTCTCTCCATCTCTCTAGTGCGGCGACCATCCATGCCTTTCATTCTAACATCAGGAAATTTTTCCGAGCCAGCTATGTACTGTATCCACATAACTGCAGCACCCTGTTCGAGTACTTTATTTATAATTTGTTCAGAGTTCTCAAGCCACTTAGAGAATTCTGGAAGATTTTCAGTGAGCAATCTATCAAAACCCCCATGTAGTACATCGATTTTTTTTCCTCGGTGCGGCTTTCTGACAAGCAAATCTTCAAAGGCAGATTTTCGCTGAACCAGCAAATATTTGACAATATCAGAAGCCATATTTTGTACATCCTTTCTTTGGTCATGGAGTAGAGATATTAAATTCACACAAAGACAGCAATTCAAATCTCTATCAAGATTGCTAGGGCAAAATATAATATTCTTGTGTGCAACCAACAGTTGAAGAACTGCTGAGATATCAATTCCAGATTCCTCAACGCTTAAATTTGAAGATTTCCTCTTGTTATATTCAACAAGCAATCCCAGACGTGACAGTAAGTCCTCCTCTCCAATAAGTATCAAGAACGATGGTAGGAAACAATACAGTATTGCTCTATTTGTATTCTTCAGGACTGAGTGCACATAAGCATCGAGTTGCCTGGTTGTTCTTCCGATAGATAACAGACCCTTCCCTGAAGAAGTGGCTTGTTCAACCCTACCATCTTTGTTAGCCAATTGCAGGATCGATAACAAGAACTCAAGGGTTCTAAGGACTCCAGTTGGTTGAGGAAAACCTCCCATATAGACACGATCCACAATCATCCAGCAAAATGCATCCAAGTTTGCAGACCATTTTCTTTTGTCTAGTGTTTTGTTCTCCTCTTCATCATCACGCAATAGACGCCTTTCAAGATAGTTCATGACTCTGCTAAGGCATAAGCCTTGACATACTAGAACAGATTCAGGATTCACATATAAAGGAACCATTTCTAAAATGTTTTCCAAAGCCTGTACTGCTTTGATCTGCTCAGTCATTAAGTCAGCACATACCTCTGCCATAAAATCTAGCATGGCACTTGCTCCAGCAGAACACGGCCCACCACCATACCCAGACTCATCAGTTTCGAGGAGAACTTTTGGGCTAATGGTAAATATTGTATGGGCAGCAGGTGAGCCTGACGTGTGATCTATAGATGCATCAAATTCGCTAACTAAGATACGCGACGGAAGAGGAGTAGAACTTTTGGATTCATTATAGTTAGAACCTAGCCAGGATACAGCCGGAGATGGTGATGGAGTGAATGAAACGTCAAGACTCGATTTTTCGGATAAAAGGGGAGACTCAAACATCGAGAAAGATTCAGAACTCTGGGAATCTGTTGGCTGAACTTCACTTGAACTACCTTTTAGATGTAGAAATTCCATTTCACTGGAGGCTGATACAAGGCCAACATGATCATCATCTTGTTTCTTAACATATTCACGACATTGAAATGATTTTATTGAATCCCCTGGTACTGTTGTAAGAATGTTTTCCATCTTATCAATAGCCACATAATCTGAAGGTACCGGCATGACTTCAGAACTCACACTGGCCTGCTCTTGAGGGAAGATTCCAGCACTGATGGAGGTTTTTGTGGACTGGTCCTGGTGAGGAAATCTAGAGAAAGTGCTTTCGGAACTGCTATCATCTGCACCACTTATACTCTGCTCTTCTCCTTTCACTGAGAACTGTTTAGCCATCTTCACAGCACGTGAAGCCCTGCAACATGACCCAGCTTTTGGTGAAAATTTGCAAAACATCTTGCAGGTATTATCTAGGACCAATTGACATCCAGGAATAGATGATTAGTGAAAAAAATAGTGTCTCTATGCCATGACTCTTTAAAAGTGATGCGGAATAATAATTTGAATCCTGAATAACAGAAGCATGTACACATCTAATCAGTAATGGTACTAACAACATATATTTATGCAAAAGGCATGTGATGCATACCTGACACAGGAAAAGTAAAGGTCAGCACAATTATGGAGAAATTCTGCGTTTCTGCAAGCAGCTGAAAATTGAGGGCACATCTTCGCAAGATCAACCATGAAACGGATAATAGATGTTGCAGTAGCAGGAGCTGATGCTTCGCCACCCATCAACCGTGCGGCATATGTTTTATGCATTAAAGCTTCCCCTTGAAGGTCTCCAGTCATATCTTCATTTCCCTCAACAAGCTCATCTACAAGGCTAGCCCTCACCTGTGAAAGGTTTCCAGACTGGTAGGCAAGCATTGATTGCATGATCACTCTGTCAAAAGTAGATTTAGCCATGGAAACCACTGAATCCAACAGCTCTATAAACTTCAACTCCACATGGCTTCCATCATTTGGCATTAGTTCATGAAAGTCTAACATCCGGACCTCTGGTAGTCGTGGATAAACAGGTTTTCCAAAAATCAAGCAGAACAAAATGTAATATATATCTGGAGAATCGTAGAAGCTTTGAAGTACCCGTATAAGCCTCGGATAACCTCCATTGAAAAAATAAATTAGAGAATAGCTTAGGGAAGAAGTGAGACAAACACCAAGAAGGGTCATGATCCATCTCATACTACTAGGATGCACAACTTCATCAAGGAAGTACGTTAATAATTTTGATGAGACTATCTTATGCCACTGCTCCAGCAGTTCTTCTGCTTTTATGGTTACTTGGAGATCAATAAGCATTTCCAAAAGCAAATTTCTCACGATTACATGCTTTCCCATTGACTCGCGCGCTGATGAGTTTTGTGATTTAATTTCAGGTGGATTAAATGTCATAATCACAAACCTAACCACATTTTCAAGCTCAGAAGAAAGGAACCCATCTTCTAAGATGCATCCAAGAAGAACAACTAATTTTTCTAGGACAACAATTTCCACATCCCCTCGTTGAAGTGTTACCAACAAATGTTCCACCAGATTGATTTGACGCAGAATTGTAAGATTGTGACTCCTGTACCAGCGCACTGAGACGATGTTCTCCAGAAACCCAAGTAAGGTGATCTGGATGGAAACAGGGGATGTCACCCAGAGGGTCCAATCCAGGAGGACATGTTCCACCATATCTGCATTGGATAAGACAATGCATTTTGAAGTTTTAACGGGACTATTTCCCATTTCAAGCTCAGATAAGTGACTAAAAGAGTCTTTGGACTCTGAAATATCATCCGCATCTCCATCTCCATGAGATCTAACTGAAGAATGTTCAGATTGTGAAATTGACAGACTAAGATCCTCATAGTTGTTTTCAGGTGTAATCAATGTAGGTGGCATGCTAATAGTACTTTTTCCCGTCTCCAACTTCGTTGGCTCTGAAAAAAAAGCTTCACAAGCAGTAATTTGGAACAATATCTCCAAACATTTCATGTCAAATAGCGCCATCTTGGGACGCAAAAACAGAGCTAGTAAATGATAGCCCCTGTATGTTTCCATATCCTTTACATTCTGAGAATTCTGATGAAGCGCACATGCAAGCAGTGAAAGAGACATATATACCATATCTCTAGATTCGGAAGCCTCAACAAGTGCAAGTACAACAGCCATTCCTCCCACAGAGCGGATAGTACCGCCAATCATATTTTGTCTGCAGATACACACATTTCCCACTAGGTGCCCGAAACGTGGTATACCTATATTATTGAGAAACGTAGAATGAAACAAAGGTGAAAATAAAACGGACAATATGAAATCATATGGGATCGTTGTATACCTCCAATAAGAGAAGCAGCAGCAGAAAGTGGGTCAACCAGATTGAGGAGGGAAAAATTGCCACTCATGCGCATGAACTCTGAGCATGTTCCATCAAATGCAAAAATAAGTTTCTTACCAGGTAACTGAACTGAAAGATTCCCTAACATCTTAAGATCCCATACAATCCCACTACCATCTGCCTTCGAATTGCCTTGTCTATTACTGTCGTCAAATTTTTGGATACTAGACGATGACGACATGTCAGAGTTCAGTAAGTCAAGGATAGCCATGCTGCCTCCACCACAGGCCTGATTAGGGACGAAACCTAAGAGATGTGCATCCTGAAATAGACCTTTATATCCTCTACCAAGAATGTACATGAAACCAATGCAGCCTGATGTGAGAACCTCCTCAAATAGATAACATGAGCGTATTTTCCATGTCAAATCGCTAACCCTGGCACAAGTAGCTGGCGTTCCAATTATCACTTGCAAAGACTTCCCAACAGGTGAAGGAGAATACCCCAATTTTCCCATGTGCCTTAGTTTTCCATCAATATAAACACAAGCAACGCTCGCCTGAAAGAGTCCAGCAAGAGCATTCGGCTTACTATGGACAACAACAAGGTGATGCCACTTGCCCTTCTCAGTTTCTAATCCGGAAAATGACAAAGAGTTTGAATTGCTAGTGGCAAGGGTCAAAATGCCATCCTCCTGAAAGTAAAGTTCTGCATAGGATTGACTTTCATCACTTATGGCACAAACAGAAAATATCCGCAAAACATTTTGTTCACTTTGCTGCCCACTCAAAATGTGTGTCTTTGATGAACCACCAGCTTTATAGACTTCTGATTCTTTTCCTTCCGTTGACAAAAAATTACAAAACTGGAACCAACAAACAAATGAATAACCAGCAGAGGGAGGCCAAGATCTTTCTCCCAGGGACACATGAACAGAAGCATGCCCAGTTTTGCTCATGTCCATTTCTACAAAAGGGGCCAGGGAAACATCCTCCAAACGTGTGCCTTCCATGAGAATTAGTTTTTCCAGCATACCAACTAGTGAGTGGCCCGATTTCATAACCCTCATTTGCATAACATATCTACACAGCATTTTGAGCTCGGATGGAGACAATCTGCACCAAAATAAGACTGTATATTATGAGTAAGATCTGCCCATCCAATTAAACGTAGTCACCCTAAGACTATGTATTAGATTCTTTAGCTGTGGTCAACTACCTGTACGATCCAAGAACTTCAACAATCTTTAAAACATGAGAAATAAATGGAGATGAACCCGGTAGAAAGGGGTGGATAATCTCTAGCAGGATTTCTATGCAACCTGCTCAATTATAATTCATTAAGATAGGAAAGGCGACAAGAGTGAAGAAGAGAATAAACAACAATGATAAGATTTTAAAGTTGACTTAGCCAATAAATGATCCCAAGGGGAACCTTAGGACAGAAAAAGTTCTTACCAGCTGACGTGAGGTTTTCCAGGTTGAATGGGCTGGCACGTGCAAGCGTTTCTAGAAAATTCAGAAACTCCAACTGCAATTTTGGAGTAAAAAGCAACAGTGAACGGATCAGAACTCTGAAAGCACCTGCATTATAGATCCTCTGCTTGTCAGGATTAAATTGGCCAGATGGGGTTTTTACAAGAAAGCTTGCTTTTTCACTTTCTCCCATCTCAGCTGAGGCCATAGATTCTGATGTCAAAAACGGTGGAAGCACAACTTCAAGTGCAAGTTCTAACAACAGGTGTATCACCTGTCTTTCCAGATCAACACACAACAAACCAGACTCCACCACAAGATCATAAAATATCTGAGATGTAATGATACTGTGCAGTTTCATCCTGTTGATAGAATTCTCACAGGCTGCAGTTGTCATGAGACGCAATAAATATCTGAACAATTTGATGTAAACCCATAAAAGAGACTCATCCCTACACTCTTCTTCCCCTTGGAACGTATGAAGGGTGGTCAACAGAAGAGAAAAACCAGTGGCTTCACCAAAGACTCTCTGAGCAGAGCTATTAACTCCAAAAATACGCCACAGAGCACCCATGGTATCACATCTAGCTTCATAGTGAAGCTTGTATTGATGCCCAGATATTCCAGTGACCATTCCACTCTTCAACACATCGATAACAGCTTCTAACTCTTCATGATGGACCTGGTTGGACGGTAAGATACGAGTTACCCGTTAAAAAAAAAAAAAAAAAAATGAAGGATTTCTGATACCTATGCTACAGAGCCTCAATAGGCATAATCTACTGAATAAACTAATCGAATTTGACATTTGATCCGAGAAACAAGAAGACACTGTAAAATATCAATAATTAATATACATATTCCTTTGATGTAGACTTACCTGATCAATGTCTTCTGTGATTAAACATGACAAAATCCTCAAAACACCGGTACGATGTTCATCAGAGATCAAGAATGGAAGAATGACAGTTACACTGTTGGCAGAACGAAATGCTACCTGATTAGCTTCAGATTTCTTTAGTAAAGATATCATACAATCCCAACCAACAGTTATAGTACTGTCAACTTCAAAAATAGGTGACTTTCCTGAGGCAGATTCAATCAGCTTTGGTGATGAAATGATGGCATCCTTACTATCTAGATGTTGTTTGAAGCTAGGTGAGCTAGGTACCCGATCCAAATGATTAGAAACTCCACTATGCTGATCTGGACCCATGAGAAGTTTGTGCTGCTTCAGATCATCTTGTAAGACTTCCAAAACACCAACTTCACCTAGGACTTTCTTGTACTGTAGATCGAAAGATGTGAGCTTTACAAAGAAAGAGAGTATGGTATGCTTCAACTCAGAATTGATTGGCTGTTGCAACAAGAAACAAAGTGACAATAGTTCTTGCTCCGGAACACAATTTACAACTGTGACAGCATATTCAAGAATTTTGAGGATTAACTCTTGCAGTGAGGAAGGAAAACCACCCATGTTCAGCACGAGAAGTGGAACAGTTCTTAATTCTTGGCACATTCTATAGTTTTCCATATGGCTTGTGAATATCTTGAACATTCGGTTTGACACTTCAGCCTGAAGATCCTTGTTCTCTGCTTTCAGAAAGATGTCTTGCAACATTTGGACAGCTTCAAGGTCTTTAACTTTACCATGTCCCTGTTCCCATGTCTCGTCGTACAGATTTTTAGCAGTGGGATTTGTGTGGGACAATAGTGAATTACTTGCTCCAGGTGACTCAATGGGACCTGTCTGAGCCAAGGTGACAAGAACATCAAGCAATCTGGACAGTGAAGGGGAGAAATATTGTGAAGCCCGGTCATAATTTTGACTACTATTCAACGAAAGAGGTGCCTGATTTTCAGAGTCATCGGAACCGCTATTTTTGTGTTGAGATGAATGATTGAACGAAAAAACCGTATCTTTTGGCATAGAAGATAGAATCAGGGCAAACTGTACAAGGAAATGGTAACCATGTGCATTTTGTATGTCCTCTTTGAGCCTAACCCCACCAGTTTCTACATTAGTTGAATTTGATTAAGATTAGCAACCATAATCAGAGGAGTTAGCAAATCCAAACGTAAAAAGGTGACTGCCCAATATCACTTTACTACATTTTCCACTACAATTGACATATTTTGAGTTCTTATGTACTTTTCTAAGCCAAATTACCAGGTCTGTACGATAGTTCCACACATTCAAGTAACAAATCCACAATGCCCATTGTATAAGATGAGTCCCCACAATCCGGATCAAAATCTTTGACAGCCACTAAGAGAATTTTTATCTGCAGAAGAACTCAGCGGAAAAAAGGTCAGAAGAATTTGAAACAGGGCAAGCAGTCATACCACTAACTTGTGCCAGAAAAAAAAAAAATCTATATGAAAAAGCACCTTTCATATCTAGCAGTAACAAATTATTGGTTCATACTTCTTACCCACTTAACGGAATCCAAATAGTTGTACTTAGTTACAAGATCTATCTGAGGCAGTTTTTTTAGTGATCTAGTTTCTTAAAAAAGATCTCAAGTTCACAAACCAAGGACAAGTATTCAAACAAACTCCTTAGTTCAAGAAAAGGAATATTGTTTAATACCAGATTGCAGCTATTATAGCAATCTGACAACAAGAGTATATGGGCAGTCGGGCACAAAACCAATAGTTATCATTAGCTTTTGATATTCTTCTAGTGAAATTAACATAAGTATCCTAATAACCATTTGGGAGACCTAAGATAAGTTTAAAAATAAGCATGAAACTCACGAGAATTGATATTCCACAGTGAGGCTTTCTACAGAATCCAACGGCATACCAGTTGGTGTTTGCGTATGTAGCTTGCTGTGCTACCATTGTCATTTACAAGAAGATTCCCAAGAATCTGAAAGTGACACGAAGGGGAATCACAAATGGAACTGTAAGCATCGCAACATTCACATAAGTTTTAGTTGCAAAACACATTGCTCATTGCTCAATTTGTAGAACAGGTCAAATTACCTTCATTGCGTGTCTGTGAAGCTGTATGTTATGTAATGAAACTAGGCCTTCTTTATATTGAGAGAGAGACACGAGAGAACCATTGGCAACAATTTTGAAAAGCAGCTGAAGGGAGTCATCTTCAATCAAACTCTGTGCAGCAGAAGGATGGTTTGCCAATGCTTTCATGATATGGACAATATTCCCCTCCACCTGCAAGAATGAGGATGCATGAAAGTCTCAACAGATAGGCATTGCAAAGTGTACACTTTGACCAGCATGAAACAGCTACATTTTAGAAACATATGTTATGCATGACTCTGACTAGGACCATTTAACAGAACCTCAAGTGTCTAGCTTGGAGAATACTACATCTGCCATCTTTACCTTTTCTTCAGCGTTAACAGTTTTTTCACCTTCACTGGCTACACTATGTGTCAGAAGCGCATTGAGTATGTGTATTAGACAACTTAATATCCCAGAATCCAATAGAGATTGTTTATCGAAAGGCTGAAAAGAGAACATATAACAGGTTGAGCATATAAACCAATACAGTATTTAATATAGAAGCCATCAAAGAGCCAGCACCCTGAAAATTTTCTACTGCGTCCAAAAATCATGTGAGAATAAATACCATCTAGCTATCAGATATTCAATCTCAATAAAAAAATAAAAAAAAAGAAGAAAAAAATTGGTATAAAGTTAAAACTTATAGCTGAGTAAGGGAAAAACTAAAAGGCATGTTAAACTCAAAAAGGTACCCCATATGCAAGGACTTCAACAGCAGTTAAAAGGTTTGCACCATGACTTAAACCCTCCTGCAAGGAAAAAAAAATAAAAAAATCATGATTAACAGAGAAGCGAAGGTGACATGTCCTGTTTCACTGTAATCAGAAGGAAAGGCAAACCTTGGTGTCTTCCGAAAAAATCCTTATTATTTTCTCTACATCCAATGATCTTGTCTTGCTGCTAATCTTTAATTTTTCAACATCTGTCACAAATGCTCTCCCAATGACGAAAGAAAATATATGTGTTTCTACTAAACTGCAATTGAAATAAAATTCTCAATATGGTTGATATGCTCATATCTGATATCTGAGCAGGGAAATAGAGTCCAGAAGACCCTCTAGGAAGAATAACGTTCAAGATAGGAAATGTGTGATCCCTTTAAAAAATCCTTAATCATGTGGAGACTATGAGACATTAATTTCCTAGTTGACTTGCAAAATTATCTCTTGGAGAAAAATGAAACTAGGTGAATATGATTCCATACAAATAGAAAAGAGAGATTTAGAAATGGCTTACATGGTAACTAACTGATCTACATTAGCATGCTGCTTCACTAGTATACAAAACGTATTGACACTCAGATCCAGGGCGGCTTCTTTCTCCTGCTGTGACATATATGAGTGATTAGAAGTAGTGAATTCCAGTTGTTTTTTAAGTGATTGAGTGATTGTACATAACATGAAGGTAACATCTATGAACAAATGATAAAATCACGCATACACAAACCTGTTCGGAGCTTGATGAACGGAACTCTTCCCAGTATCTTTTGAAGTCCAGTTCCAACTTACGTTTGTCTCGGCTTTTCAAGGAGTAAAGAAGAGAATCACTGATTACTTACTTATGCCAAACATTGATCAGCCAAAGTGCTCATAATAAATTGTCTTCACAAAACAAATAACTCTTCATACGAAATCAAAAAGACACACCAAAAAGAAGGTAGCAATCAAACCTATATTTAAAGACACAAGTAACATACCTTGTAGGAGATAATGAATTGAAGTCATGTTGAGCAGAGACAACGTTAATAGAGGAAGGGGAAGCTGATGAGGACGGCGAGAGAGCAGGGGGGTCACTGACAGTGCTGGCTTCTTCAACGATTAACTCGGCGGTTGATTCAGCTACTCCAACCTTACCCTTTAAGTCCTTAAGCAATGTTCCCCATTTCATGGCTCCACAGTTTCGATTCCAATCAGATTCATCCGATGATCAATCCTGACTCGGTCCGACACGACCCTGATCCGATTGGGTTATCAGAAATCAACCCGATTCCTCGATTAATCAACAACGAAACGTAATCGATAAATACGAACAACAACCCAGAAATCAAAACTCTGTAAGCTGGTGCAATATGCAAGGAGAAGGCGAAGATTCGAGATTAACGGAGGAGAAATATCAATCGAATGGGTCGGTTTGATCAATGTCTTCGCAAATTAGAAGTTTGAGATGTGTTCATCGTCGTCTTCGTATCTCCGCGCCTTGTTTCTCGGCTTCAAACATATAGTCAAAAGTCATCACCTCACTTTCTCCCTCACTAACGCTATTTGCTTTATTTAATTTCCCTAATAATAGATTATTCATTTAAACGCAAGATTAATTAAGCTCCTAATTGATTATAATTATTATGGCCCCTGAAATGTTTCTATTTTCATATTCGTACCCCGTTATTCTCTTATAATCATTTTGGTCCATCTAGATGTAAACAAGGGAAGCTAAAAACAGTTTTGGCGATCATCCCAAAAACTTTATCTGCGACCGCGAGAGGCGAGAGCTCCTTCAACATAATGGTCATGAGCCATGAGGGGACAATTTTATGAGGACTCTTGTGTTGATTATTGACTTATTCACCTTATGGATCTAAATATCGTTATATGTGGTATAGTGCAAATAGATCTACATATTATGTTGTTATTTTGAATTTCACTATATCATATTCATCCATCTAAATAGATCACAAAAAAACTTGTGATCATATTAAAATATCTTCATCTTATTTCACCTAAACGATTTCCTGATAAAGTAAATGCCAATACAAAATGATCATTAAGATATAAGACTAGACTATTGCAAATGATTTGCAAGTCGGTATTTTACATCATTAAAAACCAAAGAATACTCTAAAGAGTGTATATATGTGTCTGGAATCTGAATGTAAGCCCGAAGCATTTTTATGTACGTATGCATTTTTATTATATCAACCTAGAATTTGTAATCACAAGCAAAATGGAAAGCAAAAAAGAAGTTGTATAGATAGAATGGGTCGGCCGGGACTATAAGAGCTCGTAAAAACATGAAAAGGAAACCATATTGATCCCATTAACAATGTTCTTTTTTATAACTTTTAAAGTGGTCGCATGATGTATGTTCTTGTTTTTGTTTTTGTTTTGGGTTTAAAGTGTACTTTGGCATGTATGTTCGTTCATGCGTGTCCTCATCAACAAGCTCTTTGACCTTCGTTTCTTTAATCTTTTTCTACTTTATATATTATTCCTCGTAGTTTTCTATTTCTTTTTTTTATTTGATTCTTCCTTAACCCTCCTTTTTAAGTTGTTTCTATAGCTTATTCCTTTTGAATTTTTGTTGTGAATTTTCGTTTTTAGAAGCATGCAGTAAGCTTTTATAATGATTTGTTTCTACTATATATTGTGATCATGTGATATGATGAGTATATATATTTTGTATTCGTTGTTTGTTGCTAATGGCCTAAGTGGCAACATAAATGACCATCAAGCGACTATTCATCACAGTATGCGATGAAAGTGATACATGTTCGTTGTTAATGACATAGTGGCAACACGTATAAAATACCATCAATAATATAAGATCCTTGTCACTGATTAGTGATTACGATAGAAACTAGTTAACAGCAATCAGAAACAATAAATAGTTTTTGCCCCCACCTAATTGCCAAATTTTGAGTTATAAATGATTTTACTCCATATATCTATCATAAATAAGTGCATGATTATTAGACATGTACGTACGTGGATATGAAGTTGTGTCGTAGTATCTCTATCACAATCAAAGAAGCTGGCTTTGAGAGGACACATTCGTCGATCCCAAGAGTTTACAGTTTTTTCCATGGGGACTTTTTTTGTCGATCCAATTATATATTTTTCATTTATTTTAAAAAAACATAAAAATGTTCATGTCAAATTTACGTATAACGTTTATTAACGGACGTAATATTCAAAACGAAATTATATATTTCTCCTATGAGAATATAAGAATGTAGTAACAATTAGAATAATCCCTAGAAAATTAACCAAAAAGAAATGCTGTGTCTTTTTTTTCCGAGGGCACTTTAGTAATTTTCAAGCAACAAAATAAAAAGGAAGTAAGATTCCAGTTTTGCCCTTTTACATAGAGTGGGCTCCCGAGAATCCCAGATCGTAAGCCTTCTGAAACGACGACGACTCGTGATTATGATGAGATTCGGTATCGTAGGCCGACATAGGAAACGCCACGCCACCTGCGTACCCCAGCACACCACCGGGTCTCATGCTAACGTGCACCCCGTGACCCGTGAGTCCAAGAAAGTCTCTGGTCAAACGGTCAGCTTTCTGCCACGTGGAAGCTAGCTGGTCGTACTCAGACGACGTCATCATGACCCGGTCAACACCACCAAGAAGCTCGTTGGCGTTCTTGGTCAGATGATGTCGTTGATGACCGATTGATCGAGTCTGTCCACCGCCTCCGAAAGCCGAGGAGCTGAGAGCCGTTGCTTTTTGGAGGAGAGCAGTCGCGGAGAGAGCTGCCGTCGATGAAAGAGCCGCGGCGGAGTGCGATGGTTCGACGCAAAGAGGTGACGTGAAGAACAAGGGAGAAGATTTGTTGATCATAAAGTGATTAGGGTTAGGGTTTGTGAGAATGGAGGAAGAAGACGTTGAGTGGATTCTTGCACTTTCTTCTGCTAATGCATCACAAAACGCTCTATGCGTTATGAAACTGTCTTTCCTGTTTTATATAAATATGATCATAAACAAAGAAAAATAATTAGATATGAAGATGAACAAATTACCAAAAAGATTTATAAAAGTTTTGCTCATATGTATGTACATGTTCGTATGAGCAATGATGATGCAACAGCAAGAAGTAAAATATAAGTTTTGAAGTGGACCACGGCACACAGAGAGAGAAAGAAGAAAAGAAGTTTCAATATTTCAAGAAAAGCCTATTATTATTGTAATAATGGACCAATGCAAGTTTACACATAGCAAATCAAATCATGCATAGATTACACAAATTCTTTTTTAAAATCAAGATTCTTTCTCAGCAATATGATGATGATGGAGAAGATTCACCTGCAGGCTTTTTAAAAATTTATGTATATCTCTCACTTTCAAATTTCAATTATATATGCAACACAAAATTTACATACAATATAACGAGAAAATAAAAAGAACCATTTTTTATTGAACTATAATTTATTTATATATTCACAAACATTAGCTTTAAATTTAACTCTTCGCAAAATTAATATGGTTATGTACGTCTAAATCCATGAATAATTTTGCCACCACTGCAATTAATTGTACTCAAACTATATAGTCCATAGACAGACCACAAGCAGATTTGTCAAAAGAACATAACCAAAAGAAGACAATTGAAATCAGTCACACGAAAGCATTTAATTCATCTATATATATACAGACCAAGAAATATTATCGATCCACATATGTCACATGGACTCCTATCTCTATATAGATAAGACAATATATCATCTTAGATTTGTCACAGAAACATATCAGTAAAAAAAAATCCAAGAAAAAAACAGTAACAAGGAACAAAGAAAGATCTTCACATATATAAGAACAAAAAACAAAATATATATACCAAGAAAAAAAGAAAAGAAAAAAGGTTTACCTCGAGAAAAGAGTGCCACAGTCACATCTATACTCTCTTGTACCACAGATCTTAGTGTGAGCTTTCCAATCAGATTGAACAGCATAGAACTTTGAACACTTTTCACATTTCCATTTCTTTTCTCCATGTTTCCTGCAAAAGTGTTTCTTGATCCCTGTGAGATCACCAAGAGCTCTCGATGGATGGTGATGAGCACAGCTTGTCTCTGGGCAAACATAAACTTTCTTCCTCTGTTGCTCTTTGCTGCTCTTCTGCTTCAGCTTCCATGGAAGGTTGTGGCCTCTCCTGTGAAGCTGTAGATTCTGATCTCTTTGAAACCCTTTGTTGCATATCTCACAAACGAACCTGTTTGTTGCAAGAAGCGTCTTTGGTGACAATGCGATTACCTCTGCATCTGGATCTGCCAAAAGTTTCACATGATCAGGAAAAAGATGATTTTGTTACAAACCCTAATTATAAAAAGGGAAGGAAAGACTTTTTACACAACCCAAAAGAAGTTCCAAGATTCTTCTAGCTAGTACTCAGAAACCCATATGAAAAAAGTTAAGGTTCCAAGATTCTACCAGGAATCAAAAACCAGGTGAAAACAGCAGTTACAGGATTCAAATGGTTTTTTTCAAGAATCTAAAACGAAATAAAGTAAAAAAGATAGTATTTTTATACCAGGATTTCCAGGAAGGCCTCTCCTTTTCTTAGCGATCTTATGAGTCTCTGTGTGAGTAGAAAGACTGGAAATTGCATGGTTAAAGCCACTGAAATCTTGGATAGTACTACTGATGAGTGTGTTACCAGAAGAAGCACTTGCTTCAGTAGACAAAGAGCTTAGTTTATAGGACAAGGAATGAGATAAAAACATATTAGCCATGGCGTGGTTATAGCTTAAAGGAAGAAGAAAACTCCAACCAAAGAAAAAACAAAACTTTGGAAGAAAACTAAGAAAAGATCCAAACTTTGGTTTATTCTGATCTAGCTCTTTAAAAATATGGAACTTCGATGCAAGTGCCTAGAGAGTTAAGAAGTGTACACAGAAAGACATCATTCTTTGGCTATATATGCAAGAAGGAAAAAAACAATATTTTTTCTTTTAGTTTCTTGAGTGTATGCACATGCTACATGTATGTATGCATGTATATAAGCAGTATAGTCTCAAAAGCAAAGAGGACGACCATGATGGATTATTCTCCAATGTCACTATCATATATATACATATATTTGTGTGCTTACAATAAATGCAAAGACTGTTTGATTCCCATTTTTGTATTAGTTTTTTTTTTTTTTTTCTATCTATGTGCAGATGAATACCACAGAGGTGAGAATAGTAGTGTCAAGTGTGTGTGTGTGTTTGAAAGTGAAGACTTTGACTTTACATTTTTAACTATTTTTGTTTTATTTTCTTTTGTTTCTAAGTGTTCTGCATTATACTGAGAAGAGTGATGATTACAGGACCAGACTCTAAGCATTTACTTTAAATTGTCTATTAAGAAAAGAAAGAGTAGACCCCAGAAAGAAAAATAAAAAGAAAAGCTAAGCTATCAATTTGTGCAATTAATGGAAAATATTGTGAGATGAGACTTAACAGGCTTAATTTCCTTAAATGGAAGTCATAATTACTTTTTATATAAAACAAATAAATAAAAAATTACCTCTTTTCAATATATTGGGTTTTTTTTATAGAGGAAAATGCTTTTGTTTTGTTTTAGTTTGTAAGAGAATCTCTACTTAATTAGCCAACTTTTGTTTTATAATAGTAGATGATTAGTATTAGTAGTACTGAGAAAATTCAAGTTCAGCGTGGGGAAGTCGTATACTTTCCCTATGACATTGCGATACTTTGAATAATATGTTGACAGTTGTTGAACTATAACAAAACCCAATTGTAGTAAGTGTTGAATGGAGTTTAAGTATCTAATCCAAGATGATATTGTTTGACTTATTGCCAAGAAGGTAAGTATACTTGATCAATTTCGTGCTATTGAATTATTATGAATTGAGTGATGTACTGATGTGTTACTTTCTATTTCTAAGTTCTAACTACTACAAAGGCTGCTAAAACTTTTATCTTAGGGGGAGTTATTGGGAGAATGATTTTTAAAGATTTTTAGAGTTTAAGATTCCATTGTTATTGGTTTATAGATTCTTAGATTCCTAATAAAATCTCTTGTTATTGGTGTATGTATTTTGTAATTCTATTTAAAATCCTTTGTTATTCAAAAAGTTGAGTATTTATTGATTTTCCAATTCTATCAAATTCTAGTGTTATTGGTTTAATGATTCCTTACATATTTAGTCATTAAAAACAACTTTCAAAATACTGCAATTCTCACAAGTATTTATAGAATCTATCATATGAAGAATCTATTAAACTCTAGAAATCTGGGTAAACATTATTTTAGAATCCACAAAATTTTTTGAGAATCTTAAAATCTCTAAACTTTAGAAATCCATAAACTCTTTTAAAATCATCCTCCCAATAACCCCCCCTTATTTTTTCTTCAGATTTTTCTGTAGCTCATAAGATTACACAAAACTCTTAAAAAGGCACACTTGATCGGAATGAGACTTATCATATATAAGCTATGAATAAATCAAAAGAATATGTGATTGTGTGCATGAAAAATAACATGTCTTCTATATATACCATAAGGTTAAATCACTCATAAAGATTATTAAAAAAATGGTTGGGGAAAAAAATACATACACTAGTACACAAAGGATATACAAAGCAATCATAATATGGCCAAGCTAAAAGCATTTTGGCTTTGAATATCAAAATGGAATATATTACTTTGTTGAATTTTTTGGTTTTCGACTTCTTCCTATGATTTACTCTCTTGTGGATGACTTTTGTGTTATCTTCTTTCTCCTTTTTTTTTTCTTTCTAAATTACCTTTTTTTAAGTTTTTGATTAATAATATATTCTCATATATCCATCCCTTTGAAAAAAATACTTGTTAAACCCCACCAAGAAGAATTTTTCGCACTCCTTCATTTCACCCCTTCTTTAACTTTATATCATCTCTTTTTAAAAATGATTGTATAAACAAAATAAATATTCCAAAAAAAAAAAACACAAAGAACATTTTGGTAAGTCGATTTTGTCCTTAGACTTGTCTTGTACGTTCATAAGATTCACTTGGGACAGGTTTGTCTATTTCCGTAAATTCTATAGTTTATGATGGAATCCCTTTTAGGCCAAAGAAACAAAACATATGACCATTACGAGAGCCACGAGCGTAACTACTAAAAACCCCATGCAACACCGAATATTCTTCTTTTTTGTTTTTCTTTTCCAAAAAAGGCTTTTTTGAAATGTGTAATATTCTTCAATATATTACATATGCTATACGAAGGAAATAAATATACATACATGAATATTCGATTTCTTGTTACAAACAAAGGGGAGGACAAATGTATAGGGAAGAATATAGTCATCAGCTTGGGTTAAGGTTAGTATTATATATCAAGGTTCACGTTTTAGGTCCAGTGGGAATTTAGAAGTTTACGTTGAAAGGAGTTGATGATATAAAATCGAATTTTAAGGAAAACAACAACAAATACAAAAGAATAAAAGGGTGACAAGGAGATTACAAGATTCCAACTGTATGTTCCTTTTAGTTTTACAGATTTTCACACTTTACTTTCATCTCTCTTGAGTCTTGTGTATGGGTTGCGGTTCAGGGTTCATGGCTATTCACACGGCTATGGAGTTCCAGCATCTCCTGATGGTTAGGGTCGACCGAGAGTGCTGCACGACAGTCCCGCAACGCACTTCCCACATCTCCTATGTGTTCATGGAATGCCGCTCTTAAGTGCAGAAGATGCAGATCCGCTTTAAAGGTGATAGCTCGTGATAACTCCGCTATAGCCTCTCTCTCCTTCCGACTATCCATCAACACTATAACGAAAAATTTGAGTTTCATCAGGTTAAGCCGATTCTTTTCCAGAGATGATGGAAAAAAAAGAAAAAAAGAAGAAGAAGAGCATAAGAGTTATAAGAAAGATAGAAAACCTGCTGCACGATATCGATAAGGATAAACCCGCAGAGGGTCTAACCGGGTGACCATTTCGAGATCAGATTTGGCGAGTTCACGTTCACAATACTCAGATCTTTTCTCGTAAGCAGATGCATTGTTTTGAGCTTTTTCGATTAGTCTGGTCATTTCTTCATAGGCTGCAGCTTTGTCGTTTCTAAGGAAATGGACACGAGCTAGACCTTGATGTGCACGCGTGTGTCTTACCTTGAGAGCATTTATATAGCAATCCGCAGCTAAGTCTAACTTCTCGCAATCCACGTAGACACTCCCCAGATTATTCAGAGCCTAAAATCAAACCACAAACAGCATTGTTAACCGGCTGCATCTAATCGCTTGGGCATAAACACAAAACCAAATCGGCTCGAAACTTAACTATTTACACCAAAACCAAAGTGGACATTTAAAAAAGTGGGCTGTAACATAATTGGCTAATAGAGAATAAATCCAACCAACCCGAAGTTACTATAACCAAATCCAATAAACCTGAGACATAGTTTTTATTTTCACTGATTTAAAAACAGATGTGGTGATGGTGAATGACAGTACCTGGCCTTTGCGCAACCTATCAGACGGGCACTTAAGAGCATCTTCAAGCAGTGAAACAACAGTTGAAGAACTTGATAGATCGAGGCTAGATTCCGCTAAGGCATAAGCTTGAAGGAAATAAGCTTCAAATGATCTCTTTATTCTAATGGATTCCTTAGCCTTTTGTAGCCCTTCTTCGCAGTGACCCGTATCATACAAGATCCATCCTTCATAAACCAGACGCTCGTGGTCACTCGAGGCATGCTCGCGGGCTAACTGTAAACTACGCATTGCTGCTTCTGGACAATTCAACCTGTTAAAACAAAGGTATGAGAATGAGGTGCTGGATTAACGATCTTATTAGGAAAAAAAAACCAAGTAGAAACATTTGAAATAACTGACTTATACATTTCATGAAAAATTGCACTCTGATAAAATTGTGTTCTCTAAAACTAATTAATATATCTCATGAAAAAACAAATTCAAGCTGAAACTGTACCAAACCGTTTTCACTTTAGCTATTCCTTTTCAAAAACTGAAAACCTTAAAAACACCGAATTGAATTGAACTCCAGTTTTCCTTGATAATCATATTAAAAATTGAACTCAAGAGTGTTGAATTAAAAAAAAATACCTTAGGAGAAGCAAAGATTGCCTGAAATAAAGAACACCTTTGCAAGCATCAGATTCGAGCATCTGATAGATCACGGAAAGAGAACCTATATCATCAACATTCGACCATTTCTCATATAGCTGCATCCAACAATCCGCTGTTGTCCAATTCTCAACATGCTCATACACAAGCGTCCTGAGCTGCCTCCCAGCTACTTTCCCATCAAACATTCGATAATCCGGACACAAGGTCAGGGCAGCCTGAATATCACGAAGAGCTGCTTCATAGTCATCCATACCAAGATAAAGACAAAACCGGATTTCCAAGCATTCTAACGCGAGTTTAAACCCTAAGATCCGATTGATTTCTTCAAGTGCAGCCTTAGCATTTTGTTTCGACATTAGAGTGACAGCTCTATACATGTAAGGATATGTTAAAGTCGGGTCCAATTCGGTTGCCTTCCCAAGATCTTCCAATTTCTTATCACCCTCACAATAGAAAGACCTTTCTTGATACATCCAGCCGAGGGGCGGTGAAACAGAGGAGATAACCGAGCTTAGCTTCTCATAAGCCCAAAGCCGATGCCCTTGGATGTATCCTAGTCTTGCTAAACCAGTAGCCGAATACACATGGCCTAAATTAAAAGCAGTTTCAAAAGCTTCTTCTGCCTCGCGGTATTCTTTCCTCAACAACCTCATACACCCTAACCGATGAAACCCCAAAACTTTCTGGCGGTCATTTTCTGCAAAGTCAACCAATTTCTCCAAGAAACCCAATGTTCTGTCAGACCGAAGATCTATACACATCGAGACTTCACTTAAAAAAGAGTATAAGGAGAATGAAGCTTTTCCTGCCATGGTTGAGACTTGAGATCTAGTAACCCGAGTCAAAACCTCGACAACACGCTCATCGGTCAAACTATCTGGCATCTCATAAAGAAAAACTTGCAGACACGATGCAGCAAGGATTGGGGAGTTCTCTTCAAGTGCAAAGTCCATAAGCTCAATGGCACATTCAATAGAAGAAATCAGAGATGCCAATTCTCTATCGCATGCATCTCTGAGTTGCTCACAGCAAAACTTGTTTGCGAAAACTAAGACTTCCAAAAGAAGGTTTTTGGAAACTCCGATTAATACACCCACAACACTGAAATCTCTAACAACCCGCATAGCTGATGAGGATACATGATTTTCTGACATATCTATCTCATCGAGAAGTGATTCCGTGAAATTACCGTAAAGCATTGCGTTAAATGGAGCTGAAAGACTCGCAATTTTTCGCCTTTGGCAAGATATCTTCTCTTCTCCTATCTTAAACACAACATTTTTCGAGACACTGCGGTTCGTCTTCACAGATGCTGCCTCAGAGGAAGAAGCTGTAATGGCTGGGAAATAAGATGCAATATCCAGAGGCACAAATTCTTCGGAATATTTACCACAAGAGGAAAGCAGATCGGTGATAACTTCCTCTCCTTGTTTCTCATACCTCAACCAAGACCCAAACACAACTTTCTCATGGACAGTTGTAGCCTCTTGCCAAGCTGATTGAAGGCTTCTCCGTCTAAGTTTGGTCTCCCCAAGACCTCTAAACACTTGATACTGCAACAAATACAAAATCGATCTCTCCTGCAAAGGACAAGTCTCAAGCTCTTCGTGAATCTGAGCTAGAACTTCTACGTAGTCGAGAGGTTTATAATGCGGCAGTATCTGCGGTTCAGGAACTTTGATAAATGATTCTCTGCACAGTGGACTACAAAAAAAGACCAAAGATTAGTCTATATCCAAAGCGTCTCAAGCTCAATATATAACCAATTAAAACAAGCAGAAAACAGAAAAGGAAAACACTTACGCAGATGAAGAAGCAGAGGAAGAGAGTTTCCCTCTCTCAACTTGAAGCCATGATTGTGGATTCAAGGAATTGAGCTGTGGTTCTTTACAAGAATCAGATGGGTAAAAAGTCCTCATCTGACATAACAGATGAAACAAATCCCAGATCTCCAGGATAGCCAGAAGGGGTAATCAACACGCTATTTTCTTGTCGATTTCACACTACCTCAGCCCAGAAACTAAGTAAAGAAGGGTTACTTAAGTAAGGGATTCCTATACAAAAAAATCTGAACTTTGGTACAATGAGATCTTCCAACACCTAAAGCTAAAGCATTTCTCTATGAAACCACTAATGTGCAGTAAGATAGAAGTAGAACAAACCTAAATACATAAATGAGAAGCACAAAACTCACTCGAAATCGCCATGGAACTGATACCCATTAAAGAAATTAAGAGAATGAATCACCAAAATCAAAGCTTTCCCGAGAAAACCCTAATAATCTACAAGCAGTGGTGGCATAATCTAAGAGGCTCAAGTGAAAATTAAGCTAAACCCAGAAAAATTAAAGAGAATCTAACAAATCTAAGATGCCTTAGACATCAAAAAGTAAGAATCTTTTGAACCAGCAGAGTCAAGAAGAAGAGAGTAAAGGAAGAAACACCACCAATGTTACTGGGAGAGCTTCTGCAATTTGAAAAAGAGAAGAACCCTAAGACAGAGAGATGTGTGAGATTAGGACAAGTTCAAGTTTGAGCAAAAAAGTGAATCGAAGTGAGAGAGAGATATAGCGAAAGAGAGAGTGGGAAATGTTTTCCAAATTCACACTTTTGTAATTCTCTGAGCTCTTTTGTTTCGTTGGTAAAAGGGAAAGTTTTTTCTTCTTTTCAATTGTTTTTTCTGATATATAATCCTCCTCTCTCTCTCTCTCTTTTATATTTTGAAGATCTCCACATAAACAGTAACCACCACTATCGATTTCTTCGGCCACTCTTCAAGAAGAATGGTGATTAATTATTAATTTATACATTCTAAAATAATGTATTCAAAAATGATCGAGCATATATGTTTCAGACAGCCTTTTTTTTGGGTCTCAATCCTCAAATCAAATATATTTAATAATAAATAAAAAAAACATAACCAATCCTATGATTGGTTATCTAATTTGGAAATTTATTGTAGAAAAAATTCATAGTTAATCATCAAATAAATTAAACTATGAGCTATAACATTTAACCAAGGAAAAAAACATATATACATAGGAACTGAAATATAAAAAAATACAACTATTGTGGAAATGAGAATTACATCATCTTAAACAACTTCAATCTTTTTTTTTTTTTTTTCGTCTGAATATTTCATTATAAGCTTCAAGGTTTTTACAAAATGTTACAAAAAATCATAAGGATCAGGGACAATCACCATCAAAGGAGAGTAAACAAAACATTACTAATACGTAACGTACATTTCCTCGTCGAACACTTCATGTAGCCATGAAGGGTGGCCGGTAGCCACATATGTCTTCGATCCTCTCCCGTTACGCTTTGCGCAATTAGAAAAGCACCCTTATTAGCACTACAACACTCTTTGTGAATCTTCCAAAAGGGTATGGGTTTTAAGACTTCAAGAATAGCCTCAGATTGGAATTTATAAGACGGCCAGGCCAAAGGACGAGCCACCGTCTCATATAGATCGTTTGCCTCAAACGCCAAAATGACCCTAGGGATGTGAAGACTGGTAATGCTTTCAATGGCCCAGAGCCAAACACTCAGCTCTGCATCACTTTTAGAAATAACCGGATTAAAGGCTCTACGGCTATGAAGGAGAACTAATCCTTCAGAATTCCTCAAAACCCACGCAGCTCCAGCCATCTTTTTCTCTTTGTTCCATGATGCAGCAATGTTACATTTTAACCACGGTTTATCAGATGGCCTCCAAGACTTACCATTGCTCTTCGATTTCTGGCTATTAGGTTCACCTTCCTCCCTCTCCACCTGCTGAGCAAGGAACCATTCACATGTATCCTCTTTGATCTTCATAACCATATCCTGTATACCAAAAGACCTTCCTTCAAAAGCAAGATTGTTCCTATATTTCCAAAGCTTCCATAAAATCCATGGGATCGATCTTGCTACATGACCTTCTCCTCTCGCCTTTTTGGCCAGCATCAACACAAAATAAAGGTTCTGGTACAGGGAACTTACATGGAATCCGTTTTCAGGATGGGGAATCTCACAAAGGACCCATATTTGTCTAGCAAGAGGGCATGCAAAGAGGATATGGTTAATGGATTCACTCTCCATTCCACAAATTTGGCATCTTTGATCAATTTTAATACCCCTAGTCACCAATCTTTCAGCCACAAGAAGGGCACCAGACATAGCTTTCCACATAAAAACCTTGAGCTTTGATGGCGCAGAACATTCCCAGATTCTCTTCATTACTCAATGTTATTCAGCTCACAAAGTATAATATATATGAGGGTTAGTTAAAACTATAGCTATGGTAGACTTCAAAATTAAAAGTTGGGTATCACTAATTTGAAAATTAATTCTCTCACATGATGTCAGGAATAAAGACAAAAGTAACCCTATACAGTTTTAGATGGTTAAATGAAATGATTCTGCTTTCTATCTATATTGGCAAAGACACGACAACTCCAACATTAAATGATGTCAACGATATCTTCGAACATATTGGATATCATTATGTTTAGTCGATATCATTATGTTTAGTCGATAACTCTAGATAACAATTAGTATGTATACTAAAGTAACAAGTCTAATCTTATAAATTAAAAAATTGATAGTATATACTACAAGGTACTCACTAACTACACACTTGACCTTCTAGAATAGTATGTAGACATAAACATAACATTATGGATAGTAGATAACAAAAGCATAAGAGGATTATGTATTTATTATTAGGTAAAAGATGCGAGTTATGTGATCATGATCATGATTATTAGAAGATTGGCACTAGTGACATCTTTTAATGAGAAATGCAATGTAACCGAACGTAATTTAGGTCCTAGTTATGGCTAATTTTATATAGTAAAAATTATCTTAGGTTGATAATTTTTATAACTAATAACTATTAATGTCGATTAGCTTCCGGTTTGATAATTCTTATGTTATACTGGTAACTACTAGAGTGAGAAGAAATCCTGTAAGTGTTATGTTATAGCAGTAACTAGTATAATAATAACATAGAATTATTCTGTGATAAAATTAGATTTTATTCTATTAAATCATGTACTATATATATTACAAAATCTAAACCCTAACAACTATTTTGTCAACCCAAACCGAAATATAATTTCATTTAATTACAAAATCTAAACCCTAACCACTATTTTATCAACCCAAACCGAAATATAATTTCGTTGAATTACAAAATCTAAACCCTAACCACTATTTTGTCAACCCAAACTGAAAAATAATTTTATTTAATTACAAAATCTAAAACCTAACCACTATTTTGTCAACCCAAACCAAAATTATAATTTCGTTTAATTACAAAAACTAAACCCTAACCACTATTTTGTCAACCCTAACCACTATTTTGTCAACCCAAACCAAAATATAATTTTGTTTAATTACAAAATCTAAACCCTAACCACTATTTCATAAACACAAACAAAAATGTATTTTTTTTTGGTTATAAAATCTAAAGCCTAACCACTATATTATAAACTCAAACCGATATATATTTCCATGAATTCGATAACACTGTTCATCAGTGATTAAAAGCATTCGATAACCTTTTTTAAAACATGTTAAATAATATGTTATCGCGGTAAGTTACATATTATCCGTTAAATTGAATATTTATATAAACCGGTAATATAAATATTTTATACAAGTACGTAAATAAAACTGTATAAAACAAATAAATAACAAAATAATAAGAAATAAACTGAATGAAACACACATTGTATACTGATTTGATTATCTGGTAACACGTATTAAATCAGCTAACCTCGGCGTCATCAGTTTCGTCAACCACATCATCTTTATCATAGCCCACAACACGTTTTTTTGTTCCAAAAAAAATCAGTGTAACAAGTGTGTAGGGTTAAAATCGTCAAAAATATATCCACCTAATAAAAAAAAGATCAGTGACATTTAGTTAATAAAATGGTCAACTGATGCTATGACTTACAATTTCCCTATATATGACGCATCCTAAAAATTAATGTTTCTTTTTAGTTCCGAGAAACACAATTTTTTAATCCAATAACATTTTTATTTACTTTTTATATATGTAAAATAAAATAATTGATTGAACAAAAATCTTTTATATCATTGAAAAGGAGAACAAAAATAATATAAAATTTTTTAAAATTTTACAAATTATCACAAAAATTAATATTAAAATGTATCTATAAGAGTTTGGTAATTTTATTGATATAAATATTTTTTTTAATCCATTAATATGTTTTGTTTTTGGGACACGATCCTTTTTCTTGTACACATGAAAGAAAAGGTAGAAAGAAGTATCCTAGTCACACGGTTCGTGACTTGGTGTCATCTCCAGTCTCCACCTTAAACCTTCATGAACCTTCTCCTTCCTCTGAGTTCCCGCAACCGCTTTTTTCATGGAAACAAAAAACAAAAAATCCAAATTTTTTATCTCAGGTTCCGCTCATACCACAACAGAGACTCAGCAGCAAAGCAAATTCAACTTCCGCCTTCTCTACTCGATCGTGATATACAGTCATCGAATTTTCCCGCGCTTTCCGTAATGTATCAGTGGAACTTACCGTACCGGAAAGATGACGTGGAAACCGGCGGCAGCTCAAGACCTCTGTACCCGACGATGCTTGAAAACCCCGACCTCCGTTGGGGTTTTATTCGCAAGATTTACTCTATCATCGCCTTTCAGCTTCTCGCCACCGTCGCCGTCGCCGCCACCGTTGTCACCGTCCATCCAATCGCTCTGTTCTTCGCTACCACCGGCCTTGGATTAGCTCTCTACATAGTCATCATCATCACTCCCTTCCTAGGTAATACTCTTCACAATCACACACTTGTTCTTAGAAATCAAAGTTTCAATTTTTATTATAATCTCAATTTGCGTTTCTCTCCGATTATATAGTGATGTGTCCGTTGTACTACTACCACCAGAAGCATCCGGTGAATTACTTGCTCTTGGGGGTTTTCACTTTGGCTCTGGCTTTTGTAGTTGGATTGACATGTGCTTTCACCAATGGTAAGACTTCTTCATCAACCAACCACTTTTTTGGTAATAGATTTGAGGAATTGAGATTTTGACATCTCCTGATGTTTGTTGTGTGTATATGTTTATGACTGACTCTGTGTTGGACGCAGGGAAAGTGATTCTCGAGTCAGCGATCTTGACAACGGTTGTGGTGCTTTCTCTCACATTATACACCTTTTGGGCTGCTAAGAAAGGATATGACTTTAATTTCCTTGGACCCTTCTTGTTCGGCGCTCTCATTGTGCTTATTGTCTTCGCCCTAATACAAGTAACACCCTTTTATTCCAAATTCACAACAAGCGTTAGAGGAGAGCAAGATTTTTAATTAGGCTTAGCCTATGACTTTTGGTAGCATTGTTTTTAGGCCGACAAGTTTGAAACTTTATTTCACATTAGACACTACAGTCTACAGAGGATGGGAGTTTTAACTTTTTAGCCAATTAAATTTGGTAGCTTATGGAATTACAGAGGATGGGAGTTTTACTTTTAACTTGTGCGATGTGGTAGTTTTTTCGTTGCATTTTTAACACTAAGAAGCTAGAAACTTGATTCTCTCACCGTAGGCATCACAGAGAATGAGAGCTTTAACCTATTGAAAGTGGTACTTTTATAGCATTCGTTTGGCTAGAAAAAGTTCGAAACTTGGTATAAACTATAGTCTATATGAATTGCATAGAATGAGGGATTTTATCTATGAATTGTGGTTGTTTTGGTCTATGAATGCTTATATCACAATATTAGGGCAACATTATCAAGGAGATCTTAGACCTAAGATTTACATAGGAAAGTATCTTATGCAAGATCTTTTCCGGTGTAAATTTTAAGTCTAAGATCCCCTTGATAATGTTGGTCTTAGACATTACAGAACAGAGAATGAGAAATTTAGCATACTGGATATGTTAGTTTTGGTGGCATTCTTTTCAGACTTGGAAGCTAGTAACTTGATTTTACTATAGACATTATAGAGGATGAGAGTAGAGCTTTGGAATGCATAACCAGGTCTCATATGCTAATTTGTATTATGTATGTGCAGGTCTTGTTCCCATTAGGGCGGATATCGGTGATGATCTACGGTTGTTTGGTATCGATAATATTCTGCGGATACATAGTCTATGATACAGACAATCTGATCAAACGATACACATACGATGAGTACATTTGGGCAGCTGTTTCACTCTACCTAGACATCATCAACCTCTTCTTGTCTCTTCTTACTGTATTTAGAGCCTTAGAGAGATGATGACTATATATATGTGGATGTGGTAATTAGTTTCTTTGTCTCTAAAAAATAATGTTTTAAGGATAAGATAATAAATCTGTATATTTTGGTCGTTACAGTTCACATGTTCATGTGATTGATTATAGAGGGAACACAGAAACTGTGGTGGATCAAGAAATGATTATAACGAAAATGCCAAATTATGTGTGTAGTGTAGCTAAGGACATCACGAGAGTCAAAAAAAAAAAAAAAAAGGTGTAAGCCTTTGGTTCTTCTCACAAGAAAACAAATGGGGTGATCATTGAACTATTTTTAGAAAATAATTATTCAAATTAGAATTAGTGCTGACGTTTATCAATTAAGAGAATGGATTATTATGTTTTAATGCATTTAGATAATTGAAGGGTTAAAGTTTACGATCTATGGTTTAACTATTTCGAGTTTAGTTTTTAGGATTTAGGTTAAGAAGTTAGGGTTTAGTTGTTTCAGACCACGTTGTTAATAAAGATTAGACATTTAAAATTATTTTGAATGAAAGAAAAAAAAAAAAAACTAAAAAAGGCAAAAACATGGGAAGCCTCGAGGTGTGTGTTGAAGGAAAAGAAAAGGAATGTTTATAATTCTGAAATGCTCCAAATGCAAATCGACAAAACGAAATAATGGTAAGGAGAGTGATAAAACGATCCAAATTGGGAAGACTAGTCTTGTTGTAAGTTGTAACAGCTCATGTTGCTGCTTCATTCTTTCTAATCAATTCATGTCTCTCATTCTCAATTGTTTGGTTTTGGCGCTTAAGTGTAAAAAGATCTCTCTCTTTAGATAAGCTTCTTCATTCCTTTGTCAAAATTTTAGTGGATTCTCTAGGATTTGTGGTCGCAATGCAAAAAGAACCATATGATACATTGCGGTCAAATGTATGTGTAAATGATGGGGCAAGTGCTCTCTAGCATGGCTTCGACCCATATTCTTTATTATGATGAAGTTTTGAAATATGATCAAAAAGGGCCAATGCCAAAAAAAAAGGAAACACAAACATAATGGTCCGTATTTTCACGATCAAGCTAAGATAACAAAACGAATGAATTACAACTTACAAGCATATATTGTTGTTCACTGGATTTGTGGAATTTGTGACCATACAATGCAAATATGATTATACATGACGGTGAAATGTATGTGTAACCAATAACCCATTGCATAGTTATGTAAAAAAAAAAAAAAAAAAACGAACTTTGAAAATCCATAGAGAATTTCTTGTTTTCTCTATTATGTAATTGGGATTTTGTATGGAATACACACAATACAAATATATATTACGGCGATATGTATGTGTAACCCAAATACACACATGAGCAACATGACAAGACCAAAGAAATTTACAAGCATTTTTCTTTTCGTACATGCAATAGTTTTCTATATATGACCATATTCAAAATAAAGTTTTACCATATGGTTTTGTTCTCTAGATATATAATTTACAAAAAAAAAAAAAAAAAAACCCAATAATTTTTGTGGGTCCCAATGAAAATGCAATCATGAATCACCTATATGTAAAAAAAAAAGAACTATCTTCTCTTCTCAGCTTCCTATAAAAAAACCTCATCTTCCTTCTCTCTTCCTCAACACTTCCAAAATCCAAAATGAGACTTATTAGCTTTTGATGACCATTCTCATTCTCTAAAAGCAAAAGCTAAATTATCTATATATTTTGTTTTCCCTAGTTTAATTAAGTAGTTAAAACAAGAAGATGTGCAGCAGCAAAAGGGCATCACAATATCACAAAGTGGAAACACCTCCACCACAACCTTTCTTGAAATCACTAAAGAACACTCTCAATGAGATCCTTTTCGCCGACGACCCCTTCCGTGAGATCAGAAACGAACCGAAAACGTCGAAAAAGATCGAGTTAGGGCTGAGGCACGTGTTCCCGATCTTGGAATGGGCTCGTGGTTACAATTTGGGGTATTTGAAATCAGACGTTATCTCAGGGATCACTATTGCAAGTCTTGCTATTCCTCAAGGGATTAGCTATGCTCAGCTTGCTAATCTCCCTCCAATCCTTGGTCTTTGTAAGCCCCTCATCTCTCTCTATATTACTTATAATAGTCTCCATTACATTACATGTACGTAGTTTACATATTGATGTACTATATATATGTAGACTCAAGCTTGGTGCCGCCGTTGGTATACGCGATAATGGGAAGTTCAAGAGATTTGGCGGTGGGAACAGTGGCGGTGGCCTCGCTGTTGACGGGAGCGATGTTAGGGAAAGAGGTAAACGCGGTGGAGAATCCAAAGCTTTACCTTCACTTAGCTTTCACCGCCACTTTCTTCGCTGGACTCATGCAAACCTGCCTTGGCATCTTACGGTACGTAACAACACTCCAAAATCACATTATTACTTCACACAAAAATAAAAATAAAAAAATAGTACTTTTATACTATCATATACACGTACGTGAAATCATAATATTATATTTTTGGTAGAATGATGGTGTAAGATTTGTTTTCTAGTGGTCTATCATAATTATAAAAGTGAGAAGGGAACATTTTGTTCGGCTGAAGGTCTTTGCCTCGTGCATGCTGTTTTGTTTTTCTAAGCAATAGTAAAAAAACTGTGATACTCTATAGTCTATAAGAAATAAGAAGAAAACAAAAACATATAGTTGAAATATGATCCATGTTCGATTCTGAGGCAGATATGTCAGAGGCTAATAATAATAATAATAAGGTTTATAAAATTTTAGTCTAACATTTACAAACAATTTTTCACGTGAACAAACCTAGAAAAAACAGAACAGTAATTATTGATCAAGTATACAAAAAAAAAAACACATACAAGTTATATATGTACTAGCTAGTAATTAATTAATTATGACTAAGATTGATGGGGTTTAATTAGTGAATTAATGAAAATATCAGGCTAGGGTTCGTGGTGGAGATACTGTCGCATGCGGCGATCGTAGGGTTCATGGGAGGTGCAGCGACAGTGGTGTGTCTGCAGCAACTGAAAGGCTTACTTGGTCTCACTCACTTCACCCATTCCACCGATATCGTCTCTGTTCTCCGCTCCATCTTTTCTCAATCTCATATGGTTCGTTTACTACCTATATATATAGTGTACCGAAACACAAAATATATACATATATAGCCCAATTAACTAGATCTCCCTATATAATCCATTATTAGAAAAAGACTAAGATGGTACCAAGATTCATATTATGATTTCCCTATTTAGATTTTCAAGTAAAGAATGATTTATATATTTTTTGGCTAAGAAAGAAAAATAACATACTCAACGAAATATGGCTACGTATACTTGTTACGTTTAAAATAAAAAAGTTAATATGATTTGGTATATATATACACACATGAGTTATCTTACAATGCTAGCTGACTATTTATAGTTAATGTCCAAGATCTGAAATATTCTCAGAGTGGTTTCTCTAAATCAATGGGGTTTTGCAAGTGGCATGAGGCAAAACTTGTTGTTATTATTCACGGGCTTGCTTGCCAATATTGTACCCGACCGATCCCAGTGTGTCTATTTTGTTTTGCTTAATATCTACTCTATGATCAGTGTAGATAAAAATAAATGATATGTTTATATATATTTTTATTTATTCAAGCAGAAAAAAATGTTTGGTAAATATGTATAGATAAATTATTTCTAAAATATGCATGCGCGCAGTGGAAATGGGAGAGTGGAGTGCTAGGGTGTTGCTTCCTCATCTTCCTTCTTACAACCAAATTCATTGTAAGTTTTAATTAACATCGTACTTTTAATCAACCTAATTATACTGATTAAATACGTACGAGTTTAGATTAAAACTTAATTAACAATGTAATTAACGTAAGTGAAGAGCAAGAAGAGACCAAAGCTGTTCTGGATATCTGCAATGTCTCCACTTGTTTCTGTCATTTTTGGAAGCCTTTTCATGTACTTCCTCCATCACCACTTCCATGGCATCCAATACGTACGTTTAATTTTCTTTTGCGTCTAATGGCTCAAATTATTGTGTCACAATGGACTAATCTTATGTACTGTACAATTGTGGGAATATATAGATTGGAGAATTAAAGAAAGGGATAAATCCACCGTCAATCACACATTTGGTATTCACGCCACCTTATGTTACGTTGGCTCTCAAAATCGGCATTATCACTGGAGTCATAGCTCTCGCTGTACGTCTTCGTTATATCTTCTTTTTTTTTTTTTTTTGGGATTTAGAAAAATAACTATACTACATTAAGATTAATGTATACCAAACTGAATCCTTATTTTGGTTGTAAAATTTTTTAAAAAATAAAAATAGGAAGGGATAGCAGTGGGGAGAAGCTTTGCAATGTACAAGAATTACAACATAGATGGCAACAAAGAGATGATAGCCTTCGGGGTGATGAACATTCTTGGCTCCTTCTCCTCTTGCTATCTCACTACCGGTAATCTAAGCTAAGCCATTTTTTTTTTGTTTTTTTTTACTAATTATTCTAAGTATCTTTAATTTCTCGGACTAATCATCAATCAAAGTTAAAACTACAGTATACATTAACAACATAATTTGGTGATGAAAATTATTAATAGATGAATATGCGATAAATTGTTCATGAAATATAGCATTATGATTTATGGTAGTTTTTGTTTTTAAAGTCTCATTTGGTATCAAATGAATACGAATGATGATTATCTTTTCTAATTACATACTAGTAATAATAAGTTCTTAATGAGATTAAAAATAAATAAATAACAATATGATATGAAGGGCCGTTTTCGCGTTCGGCGGTGAACTACAACGCGGGTTGCAAAACGGCGGTATCAAACGTGGTGATGGCGATTGCAGTAGCGGTGACGTTACTGTTCTTAACGCCGTTGTTCTTCTACACGCCGTTAGTTGTTCTGTCGTCAATCATAATCGCGGCCATGCTAGGCCTCGTCGACTACGAAGCAGCCCTTCATCTTTGGAGGCTCGACAAGTTCGATTTCTTCGTTTGTCTCTCTGCTTACCTTGGCGTTGTCTTTGGTACCATCGAGATTGGTCTCATCCTCTCCGTACGTATCTCTATCCCTTATCTTTAACTTTTTCGCCACTGCCAACAAAGCTCGTAAGATAGAACCAT